CTTGTCACCCAGCACCTCACGACCATAGCGTGAAGCAACCTTGCCTGCCAGATCTAACATTTTGCCATTGGCATCCCGCATTAAGCTTACAATCTCCAGAGCCTTCATACCATGGTCCTCGCCCGCCAGGCATTCCAAGCCGAGTAACTGCAGTAGCGCGCGATCAATCGCTACCTCGAGTGCACTTAGCGCCGCCTTTTGCGAAGACGTGGGCCGAGTGTGAAGCAGTGTCGACGAAAGCTGGGAGTGCAATGTCGATGAGAGGATAAACGCCTGTTCATGCTCCTGCTGCTTGTCTTCATTCGTCTGCGGCTTTGTCGTTTCATCTTCTTCGTCTTCTTCCTCATCATCGGACATCGCATCGCCCTTTCGATTCTTAGCCTTCTTGCTCTTATCAATTGCACTCGACAGCGGAATCTCAAAGCCAAACTCAGACAGGTGCGGGATCGGTGCGCTGGGATATTGTTCGCGGCCCTTGATAATCATGCAGTGGAACTTGCCGTTATTGCTGCTGTTGTCTGCCGAGGGCGAGGATGCGACACCAACGGGCCAGTACGATTCTTCTTTTCCGCCGCCGGCCCGGCGCGAGAGGAGCTTTGTGTCGAGCATGGGGACCCAGCGGGCTTGTCCTGTGTTTCTCCATCCCAGCAGCGTTAGAAGGACGCCGTCGGAATCGTAAATGTATGGGTCGCCTTCTGCCGAGAAGAAGACTGAAGTTAGTGTGGTGCCGGGGGGTAGGGCAAGGATGTCAGAGTCTTGGTACACGATGTCATGCTTGATATTTTCAATCGTGTAGAGGAGCTGTGTGCTGAGGTCGTTTTGGATGGGTCCGTTGCCAATGGTGAGAATGTAGTCGCGCCAGGCTGCACACGTTACTGCGGGAGAGCTCTTCTGACGGTATACGCGGACGGGTAGGCCGAAAAGAGAGTATATGCGCACGTAATTTGCAGAAGTTGTGACGCACACGTAAGAGTCAGATAAGGCAACTGCTGTCACAGACTCTCCTGTTGGCAGGTTGGTCCGCCACTCCGTTCTTGTTGTCCACATCTCGTGCGGTCGGTAGTAGATCATGGCTTGGTTTCCCTCTCCAGTGCTATTCGGTTGGCAGGCGAATAGCGTCCCTTTCTCGTTAAGGCAAGCTTTGTCGTAGAGGAAAATGTCGGTAAAGTGGAAATTGCGAAAGGTATGCTCGTCATAGAATTTCACGGTTACTGTATGGTGATTGCCTTCTTGCTCGACCGTCTCTACGTATCCGGTCAACGAACAGCATAGCAGCCGGCGGTTACCACGCCATGGTGTGCTACCCGGTTGGAAGGGCTCATGGACTTGGGGACGGAAAAGAGCGGAGCTATATGCGCGTCGTTTTGATGCGGGTTCTACGCCATTTGCGAGGTGCCCATTCGAACGCTTCTTTGCCGCATTGACGGCAGGTGCATAGCCTGCGCCGTCATCATCAATGACAAAGTCGTTCATTTCCTCGTCACCATCTTCTTGTGCTTCGTCATCCTGGAACTCAGGGCCTAGGATGTCCTCTAGCGAATCTGGTGTCCCGCTTCTCGGTCGAGGTCGTCCAGGGAGGGTGTGGATATTTCCTGCGGTAAGCTTAGCTGGCTGAGGGACACCGGCTCGACCTTCTGATGGATCGTGGAAAAAGGGTGCCGAGACGGTAGGCTTCTGGAGTAAGGGGAGGTGCTCCTCAGGAACAATGTCTGTGTGGATGAAGAGCTCGCCCTCGTTGTTGGTGTAGGAGAGTATATTTTCTGTAGGGTGCCATGCCATTGCCAGAATGGTCGCCTTGACATGGTCAAACTTGTGGAGCAGCTGTTGAGTCTTGGTATCCCATAGGCAGAGACTGAGATCGCTCGATGTGGTTGCCAACAGAGCGCCATTGCGTGACCATGCTGCAGCTGTGATGTCTGCAGAGTGGCCTGTCTTGAACACCCGCTGTCTCTCCCAGTCATTTGTCGACATGACTTGCATCTGGCGCATGGCAGTAGGTGTAGCAAATGCTCGTCCATCAGGATGCCACAGCACCCTTGAACTGGACTCTGACTCTGTTTCCAGGCTCTTGATCATGCCCTCTATCCTCTTGACCATTTCAGGCTCATCTCCATCCAGGTTGTACATGTATACTTGACCGTCGGTGCAGGATACAGCGAGCTGGGTTCCAGTCTTGTCGAAAGAGACATGTTTTACGGCTCGAGACTGGTCGCGTAGGGTTCGCGTAGACTTGTTCTTTACGCTCACAACGTTCACAACAAGCTCACTGTCCGTGTTAGTAACGCATCCTAGCGGCCAGAGGGCAACTGACGTACTCGCTTGCAACAGCAATCCAGTTGCCATCTGAACTAATTGCTACGTCTCGTACGGGTAGAGTGGTCCGGAAGAGTATCTCTTCAAATTTCCCGCTGTCGAGGGAGAATCTGCTCACTGTGCCGTCCTCGGAACCGGTGATAAAGAAGCCATTCTGCGCTGAGTATTAGCACCGTGCCCTGAATTGCACTTTGTTGGCTCACGTACGCCAGCGACGACGGCCGTGTTGTTTTCCTGGCATTCATCTATAGTAACGGGCTCATCGTCGGATCCCGTGGTGAATACACGGCAGTAGTTGTCGACCCCAGCAGTGATGAGTTTCTTGCCGTTGGGAGTGTAGGCAAGGTAAGTTGCACCAGGGGCATCTAGGAACCGGGTTAGAAGAGAAAATGTTGTAACAGCATCAGAGGATACATACGAGCCTGGCGAGCGCGCAATCGCTGGACTGAAGACATTGTTGTAGCGGAATGCGGGTTGCTGCTCCAGATACAACGCGCCAGTCTGGTAGTCGCGACCGCGTAAAGTGGACATGGTTAGCGCGCTTTGAGCAAGCGTCCCCGCCGCATCTTCTTTATCCGCAATGCCCACCAAAGACTGCATACAATCCATACCTAATATGCATGACTTATTTTTCCCCAACGCCGAATCCTCCTCGGCATCGATCAACACTCAGCCCCGAAGCTCCCTGTCTGGCCCACTTCCAGACCCCAACAGACGCTCACTTTTCCGTCCAGAATGGCCGGATGGCGCTAACGATCACCCAATACCCTAACCATGTCTCGCAATGCAATTAGTCAGGACTTGCCGCTTGACTCGGCAGGTGACAAGTGAGCCGCTGAAAAAATATGTGAACTTCGAGTCCTACATCTCTACATTGTCTCCAAATTTTGTGGGTGAATCTAACCGCCATGGTGCTCACCGACGAAGAGCAGCCTCTGCTCAGAATCATTTCGCATGATTATGAAAGCACCCAGCAAGAGGGTGACCAATATGGAAACGATCAGCTTGAGTTCGAGCCTCTGGACCCTGAAGACCCTAGGAATTGGTCTTGGGCCCATAAATGGAGCAACGTCTTGCTGCTTGCGTTCATGGCATTTGTTGTGTAGGCTCAATATTTCAAATGCACCAATATCTAGCAGCACAATGAAAACTGACCGCTTCTTGTAGTACATTCACATGCATTGGTGTTGTGCCTTTGGCTCCTACCATCGTTGAAGACCTTGATGGAAAGCATAGCAGTCCAGCCAATAGTGCACTACTCGTCACCATTTGGGAGCTTGGGGAAGCCGCTGGACCTCTGTTAATCGCACCCTTGTCCGAACTACTGGGACGATCTCCTGTGTTCCATGCTTGCAACATGGGGTTCATTGCTGCCACCATCATAGCAATCTACAGCCCAAGTAGCACAGTCTTCATCACCGCGAGGATGCTCACGGGCCTTTGCGTCGCTTCCAATGTACTCAACCCGGCCATCATCGGCGACATCTTTGAGAATGAGCAGCGTGGCTCACCCATGTCTCTGATCATGCTTGCACCACTTATCGGAGGAGCCATTGGACCCGCCAGTGCTGGTGCCATTGCCGAGACAATGGGATGGCGACGTATATTGGTCATTGCTGTCGGACTTGCCATTTTGTGCGAGTTCCTCTTCCTCGTCTACTTTAAAGAGACATACAAGTTGGCTATTTTGAGGAAAAGAGCAGCAAAATCCACCGATGGAGCCGACGTGACTGTAGAAGGCAGAATCACCCATGAAGGGTCTGCAAAGCTTTGGCACTCATTGACACGCCCGTTTGCAATTCTCTTTAGATCAAGCGTCCTAATGCTCCTCTCGTTGTTTGCTTCGGTCGCTTTCAGTTTCTTCTATGTCATAAGCGTATCGCTGCCAGTCATCTTGACGGAAGAATACGACTTCAAGCTTGCTATGACCGGGACTGCCTTTATCTCTTTCAGTAAGAAATGCTTTATGTTCCCGAAAGCACAGCAGCTAACTCATCAACAGGCATTGGATCTTTATGCAGTGTTATGATCTGCAATTTTACACTCGACAGAATCTATGTGAGGCTTCGCGGACCTGAGGGTGAGAAAGGGAAACCAGAATATCGCCTGCCGCTTTCTATATTCGGAGCCCTTGTGCTGCCCTTCACCGTAAGCGCGTACGGCTGGATTGCAGAGTACAAACTCCCTGTGTTGCTGCTTCTTGGGTCTGTGGTATTGATGGGAGCTACCCTGTTGCTATCCGTCATTCCACTATCCAACTACGTTGTTGATGCGTTTGGCATGTATTCAGCATCGGCACTGACTGGCGTCATTGTTACCAGATGCCTTATGGGAACCTTTTTGCCTTTGACAGCTAACCCACTCGCTGAGAATCTAGGCTATGGGTTGGGCTTCAGCTGTTTGGGTGCCTTGAGCCTGGTCCTGGCAATTATACCCATTTGCGTATTTAGATACGGAGAGAGTTGGCGACAGCGTTCTGAGTTTACAAGGGATTTTTAATGAAGGGACTATATCGAGGTTCGTTTTGGTACCGTTATATGTAGCATTTTAGATTTCAACGTTCGTACGCGTTGTTTGAAATAGACATGGTGAGCGACTTTTGTGGTCGAAGATAGATGTATTGGCCCGTGCACCACGCCGTGATGTCCATGTATCCGCTGCTACTGTCTGCTCAACCAAAGTTGCATCATCCACCCTGCGGCCTCTGCAATTCCCAGCGCCATGAAGACTGCTTTTGCCGCCCTGTCGTCCTTTGCGACGCTCACGAGTGCTGCTCGTCTGCTCCTCCAAATTCCCAACACGCCCCTCGTAAACCCCTCCACCCTGACATCTACCACACACGCAACCCTGCAGTCGTCGGGACCGCCCATCGATGCCTACCTTACGCGCGCCAACACCTTCAATTTCAACAACGTAAGCGCGGGCAGCTACCTTGCCACGGTGCACTGCCGCGACTATGCTTTTGAGCCACTGAGAATCGATGTCACCCTGGAAGAGGCCGTTGAAGGCAGTGGAGACAAGAAGGAGGTTATCAGGGCCTGGCAGACCTTCCTAGGAAACGAGTGGGACAACAAGGGCGAGAGCCGTGGTGAGGGCGGAAATGGGCTTGTCATCGAGGCAAGACCGGTGGCGCCCAAGTACTTTTATCAGGAAAGACAAGGCTGTACGTCTCGCACACGCATGTGGAAGGAATACAAAACTTGGGTTCGCTAACACTCACAAACAGTCTCACCATTGTCGTTCTTGAAGAACCCTATGATTCTCATGGCTGTTGTCTCCATGGGTCTCATCTTTGGCATGCCCAAGCTGATGGAGAATAGTAAGTCCCAAGTGGAACACCGAGGCAAATGCAATTACTGACGGATGTCTAGTGGATCCCGAAATGAAGGAGGAATTTGAGCAAATGCAAAAGAATGGCGTCTTGGGCTCCGGCACCACCAACACCGCCCAGCAGATACAAAACTTTGACCTTGCATCATGGATGGCTGGTAAGACAGATGCGGGAACCACGAGCGCAAACGCAAATGCTCCAAGCTCCGGGCAAGCGAAGAAACGATAAATGATGAAACACGTCAAGCACGTTTGGCTCTAGTTAGCAGCCATGTGCTCAGTCCCTCTGAGCCAGCATACTACGCTTCACTGTATTCTGAGCAGATAGTGTATTTTATGATCAACAAAAGGGCCTTGCCCAACTGCACTTTGACCATTTCGGCCCTTCCTTTTTTGGGCAACCGCCAAGTCGAGGCGTTCTCGCTCTGGCGCTCTGACAATTCTTAGCAATGTCCTCTCCTGGCGAAGCCTTTTGCAATCGACGCCAAGTGAAAGCCTATCTAACTTCTGCACAGGGGCACATAAAGTCAGCTCGGGCCTACTTGCACATGCATACTAGATGCATTACATTAATCTTAGTGCACCATTTGATTCTTGCCAGCAGACAAGGCAGAAGGATATTTCCCGCGTCCCGCTGCTTACCTATGCATAGTGCCTGCTTATTCACCTTCTTGAGACCACACCCGACCAATCAAATACGTGTAAACATGAAAGGAGCAAGCCACCGTTCTTGTACTTCAGGAGCGAGCTTTCTGCATGAATTGGGTGAAATCGACTATATTACCTCTGGTAGCCATGCGAAGAACGTTTGTTAATGCAGTTGTGTTGCTCTCACCTTCTTGACTGTTGTGAATGCAACCATGGCAGACACTCCACATACACTTGTGGATGGTGGCACTACGCCAGCAGATACCACTTCAGGCACAGCACATGGATCTCACGATCACCACCACCACCACCATCCGCATCTTGGCAACCATACGGGAAAGAGACTGAGGCAATTCCTGAGACCAGATGGAAGAAAGGTACACATTGCGAGCTCGCCCGATGAGGCCAACATCATGAGGCGGAAGTTGAGCACTGCAAACGAGAAGGATGATTTTGATCTAGTCATCCACGGATCTCCTGAACATGTAGGTTGTCTACCCGAAGGACTGTGACTATGTGTCCATGGATGTTGACAGCACCGGCACAGATTGAAGCACTTCGCCATACTCACGCCCACCATGAAGACCGCCACAAGCAACTGCAAGAAGAACACGGAGAAGTAGCCCAAGAATTCGAGCGCGTCATCCGCGAACTAGACGCCTTGTCTACCGAACTCCACATGATCAGCGAGCACGCCGTGCAACTCGATGCCAACTTTTCCAAGTACGGATACTCTGCTCACCTCCGCACCAAAGAAGACTCGGACTCCTTGAATTCATCCAGCAATTCCATGTTTGACAAAGACACCTGGCGCGCAGAGCGCAAACTCGGCGAGACAATGCGGTTCTACCAACGTCCCATCGTGCGGCAGTACTTCCACAAGGGCCTCCTCTGGCGCGCCAAAGAAGCCCAAGAAGTAGCATCGTACGAACTCTTCATCGACCTCTTCTACGTCGGTATCATCGCCATAACAGGCGACTCCGCAGCCGAGCATCCCACGGGTGAATCTCTCCTCCGCTTCGCCATTACCTTCCTCATGGCCTGGAAAATCTGGTCAGACATCGGCATGCTCATCTCGTGGTTCGATTCGGACGACGTCCTGCGCCGCTGCGCCGTCCTCTTCATCCTGACATGCTTGCTGGGCTTCACCACAAATATGGCTGCAGCCTTCGAACACACTTACACACCTCTTGTAGCTTTCTACCTCGCTGCCCGCCTCTTCATCACACTCAGCCTCTGCTGGTACGCCTGGATGATTCCTATGATCCGCGGTAGCATGATCGGTTACAGTGCCATCTCCTTGATCCCCTTTGCCCTCTGGGTAAGTAGCATACACGTCGAGGAACCCGCTAAACAAGGCTTCATCTGGGTCGCCATCGTCTTCGATCTCTTCGGCCAATTCATCATGTTGCCTGTCCAGCGCCCCAATAGTCCCGTTGGAAAGCATCTCCCCGCACATATTAAAGCGAGTCTAGATTTCTTCCCCGGGACAAACATCGAGCATAGAATCGAGCGTACAAACGCATTCGTTACTCTGGTCTTCGGCTCGTGCGTGTTGGGGCTGCTATACCAAAGCAACGTCGAAATGGGCATCAACGCCTTCTTCGGCAAAGCCGTACTAGGATTAATCCAAGCATTCACGTTTAATTGGATTTATTTTGAAATTGACTCGTTTAATCTGCATTCGCATGCGATACGACGTCATGTCTTCTCTGGTACTTTGCTCCCCCATTTATCCATCCATCCATCCATCCATCTACAAATCCCGCAGAAGCTAACTAACGACATCAAAAAAAGCAATGACATGGCTAACCCTCCACCCCCCCTTCACCCTCTCCTTCGTCCTCTCCGCCTCCTCCCTCGCCATCCTCGTCCGCGCCCACGACACCCCCGAGGCCCCCCTCTCTTCCTTGTACGAAACTTTCATTCCCCGCTCCGAAGCCCACATTCACTCCGGTCTACAGTGGTTCTACTGCGGCGGCCTTTCCATATCGCTCTTGTGTCTCGCGGCGATTGCGAAAACGCACTCGCATCGTAAGATCCCGAATCAACGACTAAGCAAAGATGTCAGGCTCGTGTACCGCGGTGTTATTGCTGTGGTGGTTTTGATGTTGCCGCTCGCGCACTTGGATAGTGTGAGGTTGGTGGGTACGACGACGGGGCTGATAGTTAGTGTATTGGGGGTTGAGCTGGTAGGCGTGGGGTGTTGGGGGGAGAATGTGGTTTGGGAGAGGGGGTGTAAGAGGGATCGGGCGACGTATAGTGCGAGGTGTGGGATTAGTAGGGGGGAGTTGGAAAAGAGTGTGAGGGAGGGGAAGGTGGTAAAGGTTGAGGAGATTGCAGCGAGAGAGGGGGGTGAGAAGGGGGCTGTTGGCGTGGTGTGAGTGTTTGTTCGATCTTATATACATTCTCTTCTCTAGATATATGGAACTATCTTTGTCAAAATGTATTCCGGTCTTACGCTAATCCAATCCAAATGCAAGTATATAGTCGATATGCAAGCAACAAAATCAAGCTCTCATCACTCCTCATTCGTAGTCTCGCGTCTGTTTCCACCCACCGTCACCTGCTCATCGTGAAACCTAATCGTACGTCCAGGAATAACCCGTTCCTCAAGTGCATCATCATCCCCCGCCTTAACACCACTAGACTGGTCATCCTCCTGATGAGTACTTCCCGCAAGACTTACATCACCCAGCGGCACCGCCGGCCGGTTTTCCGGTCGACAGATACTAGGCGGTCTGGATACGTTTGGCGTATTTGTCCCGCTCCTGATAAGACTCCTGCCGATTCTGACTACACGGCTAGGCAGCGAAGCGCTCAAGCTGCGTGAAAAGCCTGGACCACGATTGATACGTGTGTCGGCATCTGTAGTGGTGGTTCCGTAGTTGGGGACCTGGAGGGAAGGTCGTGAATCGTTGGGGCCAGAGGAGTTGGTGCGGCCAAAGGATAAAGCGGTGCTGAGGGTGCGGGGGAGATGTAGACCTAGTTTACCCATTGGAATGGAGAGGCCGTGGACAATCTGTTTGTTTTGTGGTTAGATCCTTGCTAATAGTTTTTCTCAGGAGGGAAAAGGGTGACTTACCACTGAACAGATGACCAAGAACCAAACCACCACTTTTATGACTTCCATCAGATACTTAGCATCTTCCCTGACCTCGCCATCAACAACGATAGTCTCTAGAAACTCGAGACTGATGTAGAGATAAAAAATTGCACTGACGCCAATGGGACCGAAGAAGCCCACAAACAACGCCTGTCGCCTTTGCTCAATCTGGTGGATCTGCTTGTGCAATGCGAATACGATTGGTAGACGGCGGAATAGCAAGACGAGAATTCCCAGAAAAATGAGGCGGTAGATAGGAATGACAGGGGAGTTGGCGAAAAGTTCCCAGGGACAGACTGCGCCGAGCCAGATGAAGACGGAGACGTTGAGTAGCATGTCAATGGTGGGTTGAAAAGAGTCGTCCATAGTTTCGAGACGGAACCAGTCGTCCCAGGTGAATACGTTGCCGGCAATGAAGCATGCAAGGACGTCATCACTACCGATCATTCCGACCGTGCCGACAATAAAGAGCTGCGATACCATATTAGCATCCCGTTACTTTAGAAAAAAGAATCACCAGATAACTTACCGCCAATGTAATCGCAAAAACCAAAAAGCTCTCCCGATCCACATACTTCCTCTCCTCAGCCCAATGCAGCAACTCCTTCGCAATCCACCCGACCGCAGCCCCATAAACCACACTCAGCAAAATTGTATACCCCCACGTCTCCCCAAACCATAGGCCCATCGCGACCTTCGTGCTATTATCCGAACCCAACCCGCCATGTCCAATATGTTGAATGAGATACAGCGGCAAAAACAAAAACGGATACCCCAACCCATCATTCGCCCCAGATTCTGCTACGATAATTTTCTGGAGTTCTTTGGGAATATTCGCATCCGCAAATTTGCCCTTGACAATCGAATTCGAGAGAACGGGGTCGGTAGGGGTAACACAAGCGCCTACCGCGAGGGCCTGTAGGAAACTAATATGCGGGACTAAGGCGAAAACGATGAGACTGGTCACAATCCACATGACTGTCATAGCCGGACCGAGTAAGAGTGACAAACTCTTCCATTCCTTCTTTAGGTATTTAGAGGGTAACTGTACGCCTGCGAGTACAAGTTGCACGCCCAGCACCAGACGTGTAAAGTAGAGCGTGATGGTATCGAGCGTGTGTTCGCTATTCAGTGCGTAATCCCCTGGTCTAATCCAATTCGTGCCATGAGGCGAGAAAATAATGCCCGCAACAAGTGATATTACTAGCACCCCCAGAAATAAGTATACGTCGAGGATGATTGATACGTGATTTTTGGGAGTAACTTACACGCTTCACTCAGATGAAACTTCTCCTTCATCAAGTAACTCACCAACCCAAAGAGTGTGATGAAGCCGCCCAAAGTGGCGCACACAATGTTGAAGTTGTTGATAGCGAGCGTCGGCATGGCTGGCTGTGAACGGACCCTTTTTTGGACGACCGTGACGTAGGTATGGCTTTTGCACCCACTAAAATCTCTCGGCAAAGCTTGATGGCGAAGCTTGATGGCAAGACTTAAACCACACTCTCCCTCTCTTTCTTCACAACCAGTCCGTATGACGACGAGAGAGACAGTATCAGTGTTCGTGATTTTGCTGGTCAGGTAGTGCAAAGCACGTGGATGTGCGATCAACGTCCTTGCCTTAGCGCCAAATCGTTATGAATCTGGCGGTCTGAAGCATCCAATAGCAACGAATGTAATGGGAAAGGCCGACGAGGCCAGGCGAGGACAATAGAGGCCTGCTGTAAAGTTACTGTCGTCGAGAACTATATAGATGAGAAGATGTGGAGGGGAGGACGACATCTTGAAAAGGTCAAAAGGCAGGTGCGCATCGATCACACATGCCAAATGTCTTGGCCAACGGCACGTCTAAGCCACTCGCGCTAAAACACCGGCACATGGTCCCTTTGGACAGGGTAACACCGATAGCGCTGGCTTGGTTTGCATACACGCTGACGTCTTTGGAGATCACATGCTAACCTTTCAACAATGCTATTTACAAACGAGCTTCCTTATTCTGTTACCCGTAGATACAAAATTCCTATCATCTAAACATTCGCTGCTGCTGATACCTGAGGTCCATATCCGACCTGTGGGTATGGCTCACCGGGTGCCATGAAGTTTGTCTGGGGGTTGTTCTGGGCCTTGGCGGCTGAGCAACGGGCCATAGTCGGCGAGCTATGTATTGGTTAGCATTGTGACACAAGGATCTTTCCTGGCTACATCACTTACTTTCTCGAGATGGCGTCTGTGAAGAAAAAGTTCTCAATCGGGTTCTTGAGCGCCTGACCAGTAGTTTGGGCGCCCTTGTTCTGCTCGACCAGTTGTACCTGGCTTAGGCTAGGTAGCGATGCGGGCTCAACAAGGTCGTATCTCCTGAGAGCAGGCGAGATTTCTTCCATGCGGTCTCGCAGAGCTTCAACATCATCGTATGGTAGTTCAGCGCCGAGGTACTCAGATGCTGCTCGGATGATCTTCCAGTCTTCCCTTGAGGCACCTGGAAGGCCAACAGCGGCGCGTGTCATTTGTACACGACCCTCGGTGTTGACGTATGTGACGGACTTTTCAGTGTAGGCGGCACCAGGCAGGACAATATCAGCAAGCTGTGCGCCACGGTCACCGTGGTGGCCCTGGTAAACAACAAAGGCGTCCTTGGGGATGTCAGCCTCATTGATCTCGTCGGCTCCAAGAAGCCAGACAAACTTGGGCTTCGTTTGAGCGACCTCAGTCGAGGGAACAGTGAAGCCAACCTCATAGGCACCAGTGCGGGAGGCAGTTCGTTGGAGAATATTGAAGCCGTTCCATTCCTCAGTCTGGAAGACAGCCTTGTTGTTTTCAACGAAAGAGCCAACCTGCTCGTAGATCGACTTGGCATCAGCATGCTCAGTAACACCGCTGCCGACAATGATCATGGGCTTCTTTGCCGAAGCCAGCTTCTTGCCGAATTCGCCAGAAAGAGCACTCTTGACATCGTTGGCGTTGTTTCCAAGCTTCTCATATTCGAAAGTGCTCTCGAAGTCCTCGCCAACGTAGCCAATTTCCAAATCAGTCCTTAACCACTGCTTGCGGATACGAGCATTCAGGACAGCAGCTTCCCATCGAGGGTTGGAACCAATAAGAAGGATGACATCAGCTTCCTCGACACCGTAGATCTTAGAGTTGAAAGCGTAGTTTGATCGGACATCGATTCCGTGAGCAATAGGCTCGCTACCACCGGGCTGGTCAAGAGCCAGGTTGTCCGAGCCGAGCCTGTTGGCGAGATCCTTCATGGCAACCAGTGTCTCAGTCTCGACGAGGTGGCCAGCTACAACCTTAAACTCGTTACCCTTGGGAGCGACTTTCTTGTACGCATTGCCAATCTCTACAAGAGCTTGCTCCCAGCTGGCAGGCTGGAACTGATCGTTGACGCGGATAAGTGGGTTTACGAGACGCTGGGTGCTGAGAGCGTCGCAGGCGAAACGGGTCTTGTCGTTGATCCATTCCTCGTTGACGTCGTCATTAAGACGGGGGATAACCCTCATGACCTGGAGACCACGAGAATCAACACGGATGTTTGAGCCTAAGCCATCAAGGACATCGATCGTCTCGGTCTTGTAGAGTTCCCATGGACGGGCCTTGAACGCGTAGGGCTTGGATGTGAGCGCACCAACGGGGCAAAGATCGATGACGTTTCCAGACAATTCGGTGTCGAGGGCGGTTTCAAGGTAAGTACCGATTTCCAGGCTGTTGCCACGGCCGAAGGAACCGAATTCAGGAGCACCAGCGATATCGTTAGAGAAACGGACGCAGCGTGTGCAGTGAATACACCTGTTCATAGAGGTCTACTAGACGTGAGCACACATCTGGCTTGATATTAGATGATATCTTTACCTTTACTAGAGGCCCAACGTTCTTGTCCTCAACCGCGCGCTTGCCCTCGATCTCGTGGAAGCGACCGCGGTCGGCACCGTACCTCATGGATTGGTCCTGAAGATCACACTCGCCACCCTGGTCGCAAATGGGGCAATCTAGAGGGTGGTTGGCCAGGAGGAATTCCATAACGCCCTCTCGCGCCTTGTGGACAAGAGGCGAGTCGGTCTTGACCACCATTCCGGGCTGTACGGGCCATGCGCACGAAGCCACGGGCTTGGGAGCCCGCTCCACCTCAACCAAGCACATACGACAACTTCCAGCAATCATCAACTTCTCGTGGTAGCAGTATCTCGGGACTGTAACTCCGGCCTTTTCGCAGGCTTGGATGAGAGCCGCACCGGCTGTTCGGGCGCGTTAGAAGCGTGTGCGGAGACGTGAGGGGGTCTGAATCGTCTTCGTACCTTCGATTGATACCTTCTTGCCATCTGCAAAGGTGATTAGCATACGTCCGGGCCCGCAATGGAAAGTGGCACGAACCGATGGTGAGCTCAACTTCTGCTGGGCGGCGGGCAGAGGCAGTAAAGGCCCGGCTGCCATTGAGGGCTGCACGGTAGGCAGGCCTCTTCAGCGACCGGATCATGTATTGCCGCAGCATTGTGAGGGCTCTGGGCGATGGCGATGTCTGGTTGCGGCGGAGCTTCAACTGACGTTCACAATGGGAGGGTTTCCCTTGGCGCTTGAATAATCCGCCCGTGATTGGCCAAAGCGCCGGCCGCGCCTGCCACAAAATTCTCGCTGGCCGCCCTCTTCCCTTCTTCTTCTTTAACTCATTTTATGGGCACAATTTATTGTAGGAAAGTTTGGCACTTCTACCTGACTATCCTCTATTACGTGTCCTAGAGCACGACTCACCGTGCGAGGTAGCTGGAGCAGATGAGGATTTCTGATGATATCTTGTTCCTTACCAACGTCGCTACATTCCTTGATTTTCGCCGTGTTTTGCATGTCGCAGCTGTGCAGAATTCCAGTACATACCATATTAGCACCAGAGAGTAATAAAGGCAGCTGCTATTGATGTTCTACCGCCTATGATAGCGTCTGAAGCCGCTGCATGTCGCGACTGTATAGTTCCATTATAGCTACTAGATTTCTGGTGGTTTGGATGAGGCGGTGTATACCAGCAGTGTGAGCACTAATAGCCGATTGCAGATACTCATCGCTCGGTACAGATACATATATACATGCTAACATGCAGGTCTGCACGTGGGAGCGCAACAGTCACGTTTACGCCGGACGAGTGCGGGCACAACCTAATAACTGATGTGCGGGGAAATCCAGGCAACCCTCTCATCCAGCATTGTCACAAAGGCACATTCAAGCACACCAGACAATCACATTCTAAATCATGTTTGATTTCAAGGGTCTACACCGCAGGCAACTATAGACTTTTACGCCTTCCGTATGGGACGGTACATGGCTCTCTACTTTGCGTAGGCCGTCTAACATCTAACACTAGACATAACGAAAAGAAAAAAAGGTGCGCAGCCTTGTAAGGGCTACTCCAGAACGCCGTGCTGTAGACTGAGAAAGTAGTCCACGCCAAAATACATCATGCTCATTATCTACTCATTGTCGCTCTCAGGACCAACCTCCATCTTGGCGCCCTTGGTGGCCGAAGGGGGATCGATCTTCTGAGGTGGCACACCAAGACCGTTGTGGTTGCGGAAGAAGAGAACACCCTTGCCCTCACCCTCAGCGCCGACACTTGGCTCAACCCACTGGCACCAGCGGGCACTCTTCCACAAAGCCTTGATGAAGCCAATGGGACCACCCTCGGTGTCGGAACGGTAGTGCCTGCCCATGATGGGCTTGATGGCCTCGGTGGCTTCGTCAGCGTGGTAGAAGGGAATGGTGGAGATGTAGTGGTGGAGGACGTGGGTCTCGACAATGCCGTGGAGAAGGTGACGGCCAATGAAGCCAAACTCACGGTCGATGGTAGCAGCGGCACCACGGGTGTAGGTCCAGGTCTCGGCGTCGTAGTGAGGCAGAGTGGGGTCGGTGTGTTGCAAGAAGGTGATCATGACGAGCCAGTGGTTGACCCAGAGGTAGGGGAGGAGGTACCAGACAAGAAGATTGTTGAAGCCGAAGTTGTTGCCAATCCAGACAAGACCAGAAACAGTGAGGGCGATACCGAGGTCACTGAGCAGGATCAGGTACTCGTCACGCCTCTCGTACAAGGGGCTAGAGGGGTTGAAGTGGTTGACACCGCCGAAGAAGCCGTTCTTCTTTCCCTTGCCCTTGCCCTCGATCTGGCGCTCGTGGAAGTTGTGGCCGGTAACGTTGGTGAAGAGGTACAGAGGCCATCCAGCAAGCTGCTGGCCAATGGAGTGGAGGAGAGTGGCGACGGGAGTCTCTTCGGTCAGCTCGCTGATCTCGTGGACAAGCTTGCCAACGCGGGTGGCATAAACCTCACGGGTCTTTGGGACGAAGACCATGTCACGCTCCATGTGGCCGGTGGCCTTGTGGTGCTTGCCGTGGGAAATCTTCCACGAGAAGTAGGGAACAAGCAAGAGCGAGTGGCAGATCCAGCCAACGGTGTCGTTGAGAGTCTTGGAAGGCGAGAAGGCCTGGTGACCGCACTCGTGGGCAAGGACCCAGAGACCAGTACCGAAAAGACCCTGGAGCACGGTGTATCCAGCCCAGAGCACGGAGCGCAGAGGCAGCGAAGGAATAGTCTCTGGGGTAACGTAGTTGTGGAAGATGTAGAAGGTGGTGGCAAGCAGGGTCAAGTCGCGGGCAACGTATCCCAGACTACGGGTAGCGGAGCGCTCAAAGCAGTGCTTGGGAATTGCATCGCGGAGCTGCTTGATGGTATAGTCGGGAATCTCGAACTCGTTTCCGTAGGTGTCGAGAAGCTTGCCGTGGGGCCTCTTGGTCTGGGGCTGCTCGTCCAGCGAGGACAGCGACGTGTTGGAGGCCGAACCGGCCGGGGAGTCAAAGGGCGAGGCCGAGACGGAGTTGGCAGTCGAGTCGGCCGTCTTGTTCCTCTTCATGGCGGGCTTCTGAGAACGGGCGGTGGTGGTGGCCATGGTGTCGTCGGAAGCGGGGGTGAGAGAATTGATGGTTGTGGTGGTGGTGGTGAGGGGAGAGGAGGGGAGGAGCAAGCCTTGGTCGTTGCAGCAGTAAGAGCTACAAACTGTCGGGATGCAGGCTGCAAGGTGTTGGAGCAACAGCACCAGCAAAGGCAAGTGAGACGACGGCTGCAGGAATCAACCGACAGAGACTGATTGAGAGAAGAGGGGACAGCCTAGGGAGGGGGAGGGGGCTGAATTTAAACAATGGCTGTGAAGGCGGTGTCGATGAATTTGTAGGCATGCAACCGGGGTGGTCAAGCCCCAGACCAACAAGACCAGGGGCGATGTCGAGAAGCCGTTGGGCGTGGGCAATCAGACAGCAGCTTGTCCAAGACGGTCCACTCGGGGAGAAAATGGCCATGGTAATCAGCAGTCTATTGCCACCGCATTGGACACGTCGAGTACCAGGCGGCGCAAAGCCGCAGCCCGCATTCTCTAGCCCCGATGGCCCATGGCCCAACGTCGCGGGCTAAAGTCCTGAGTTTTCAGCAGATGCCTTCTATCCGCTCCCTTGGCGTCTGGCTAGGCCAAAGTCGCCAGAGCACGGCGGCGGGCAGACCGCCAGTTTGCGTATAAGCGTAGAAGAGTGTGTGTCCATAGGCCACAGCACGCCATTGTGCCGCCTGGGGTGCAGTGTGCAAGTGGCAGCAGACGCCAAGCGACGAGGAAGAGGCTTTTTCTTTTCGTGGCCAGCATATACCACGCCTACTCTAGTCTACACGGAGACATTGCATGGCAGTGTCAATGTCTGCTGCCACGTAACCTGTACATACAGTGGACCAGCAGCGGTGCCGCCCCGGGCCCGCAATGGCTGGCAAAAACAAAAGCCATGGCGACCAAGAGAGTGTGTGTGGTGGGCAGTCGAGGCAAAAAATCGGGATGCTGCCACCAGGGGCCCCTCTGGCTCTGCAGGGACCGGCCTAGCGCGCCAGGAACATCGATTGATTCGCCCGTCCCCCCAACCACTTCCGCCCACACCCCGAGCCGCGGGCCCTTGAGGGCAAGAGCTCCCACACCCTTTCCCTTTCCACCATCTCGTCTCATCCCACCTCGCATCGCTTGCCCGCCTTGTAGCACCGCCGTCTCACCACCACCACCACCACCATCATCATTATCATCATACACATACATTTATGTACATAATTGTCGTGATTCGCACAGTCCTCGACCTGGGAAGGTACAATCGGCAATCAATGAAACCCCTCCAACCTTATCTCCGTCATCCGCATAGACTTTTAGCACCTGCAAACAAAGCAAAACCACCCACCGTCTGCCCCCCAAACATCATCATGTGCCTTTGAACCTCCCTAATCTAGTCCATCCTCCATCCAACTTTTTTTCCCTCAAACGCCGCGCATGCCGCATCCATCAAATACACACCTGCCCATTTCAATCCCATAACATACTAACTATGGAAAAAAAATGTACCACACGGCGCTCTACCCAATCCGGTAAACCTTGCGAGAGGAAGAACACCCCCTCCTCCTGTCCCTCATGTCCCATCTTTTTTTTTCTTCGTTTCCCATTCCCAAAGAAAAAACGAAAAAGTTGCCGTTCGCAATGTGTGGGGTACGGGAACATTTCGTAGCTCGGGTTTTAAAAAAAAAGTAGTTACACCTAGTATGTGCCATGTTTTACTCCAGACTTTCACATGTCAAATCCCCACCAACCTTTTTTCTTCCCATATGCATGCACCTCCCCCCCTTTCACCGGCAAGTGGATCACCCGCCCTGCGTGTACAGGATCGCTCCTACCATGCGTTCGACGGGGCTTTTTTTTCTTTGATTGCGCCAGTTTGGGGGAGCGCTGGAGCTCGGACGGGGAAGGGCTTTGGCGTGGCTTGGCTTTGGCGCTGAGGGAAGCGTTCTTTTTGAGGACTTGAAGGGTTGGGTGTGTGACTTTTATGTCTTTTATAGCAATGTAGGAATATGCGCCGTGTACATGTTGCTTTGTAATGATGAGGAGGCAGAGTAGTTCCCGTGGCTCATCAGCTAGGCGTAACTGCTGCAATGCGCAAACTTGAAAACAAAAAATAACTTCTTATTGCAGCCTGAACACATTCTAAAGCGCCCTTACGATGCCTCCACTTTTGCTATCCCAAAAAAACACCTTCAATCCAGCATGATCACCTTCTCCAATGCCCTACGCATCTCCATGTCCACTCTGAACCTTGATGCTCGACTCATCCTGACGCACCTCAAATCCAAGCCATTGCAGCAACCAACCCAACAACAACACCCAACCAACTCACTTCGACCATCCCCGCCTCACTCCTCGCATTAAGCTTCACCACCGCACCGGGGAAACTGCACGTCAACCGATTCGGATCCTCATCCATCTTCCCGTACATGACCTCTCTCTGCCGCCCACTCGGACACGCAAACTTTAGCTTCGCTGGACAACTCCGCACAATATCAAAGCATATGTTCTCACATGGCTTCATTTCCTTGTACGGCCCCGGTTTAATTAGCTCGTCAATCAGCGGATTGCGAGATTGCGAGAACCCCACATTCTCGCGATACGTATCGTTGAATTGCAGCGCGACTTCGTTGCGTAGCGGGACCGAGCCGTTTGCAAAGGGAGCGTTGATGTTGCGCGGCTGGAGGTAGCTGTCTTTTGCGGTCCAGTCTTCGCAGCGAGGAATGAGCACCATGCACAGCCAGTTTTTATAGTCGCGTTCGCAGTCTGCGCATGTGCGCGCGAGTGAGTACTGCGACTCGGGTTTGGCGTCACAGGCGACTTGGGCGAGGGATTTGGTGAAGTTGGCGTAGTAGTCGCGGGCTTGATTGTCGTAGATTTCAGCGAGGGCTGTGTCATTGAATTTGAAGGTTGCGTTGGAGGGGACGGCGTAGGCGACTGAATCGCAGAAGTCGAGGTCGAAGAGTACTTGGCAGGAATCGTCTAAGTCTTTTGTTAGCATCATCTTAGAAATGAGTGGATACGACGTGATTTCGTACCTGCTTTGGTCGTCCAGTTGAAGGCCTGGAAGACTCGCCCACCGCCCCTCGTCATACCCGCACCGGGAATGTATTCGGGCTCCTGGCTTCCTTCAATCACCACGAAACCATTGTACGTCGTAGCCCGCTGTAGACCCCTGACGTGGAATTGGTTCTTTGGGAAATTATCATCTTTGTTCACTCTAAACTTTGTAGTAATCCTACTATCAATTGTAAAGTTTCGAGTGGTATTCACGTTGAATTGTTCCTTGATTGCACAGTACGACCGCTCCATGCCCGTGATTGGTGTGTATTCGCCCGCTTGGAAAGCGTACATCGAGAAGGGGTTCTGCTGTTTCCACTTGTTCACGGCTTCGGTCGAGTTGGAATCGCCAAGGTCGTACGTGATGAACAGTGCAGACTCGCTGTCTGTATCAATCATGTACAAGAATGGGTCTGATGCGTTGTAGTTGTGATAGGGACCGTCAGTACTTGCAGCAAGCTCAAAGTGCCAGCTCCCAAACCAGTCTTCTTCGAGCTTGGGTGCCGAAATGCCAATATATACATCGGAAGTCGTGTTAAACTCAAAACTGGCATATCCACTATTGAACAGCCCCGTCGTAAGATTTGTAATTGTGTTGTCGGTATTGCTTGGTCCGGGTCTCTTGTTCCCGGGTGAAGTTGACACATACATGACGAGCTGGGGGTGGTTTTTGGATGCTTCGGTCGCATTGCCATTAGGCACGGGTTGTTTACAGGTGTTGGCCGTGAGCCATACACGAGTACCGTTAGTCTGCCGCTTGCTCAGCCCCTCACTGTCCTGCGCTTCTGCCATATCTCGTCCTTCAAGTCCAGGTCTATGCGACATGTTCTCTGTTCCTCGTGCTTCCAGAGCATCCTCAGAAATTTCATCGGCGCGGCGCAAACGCAGCTGGCTTCGCTCCAGCACAAAGTGTATCGTACTCTCAGGATCAATATCCTTCTCCATCTTCTGATTGTTGACCAGTCGGTCCATTTCCTCTACTTGTCGTCCGATCAGGTCTCGATCGAGATATCCAAATTCGGGCTCGTAGCCCTCGCTTTCTTCTCCGTCATAACTAGTATCCCCGGTATCCGAAAGGCCATCGCCTGCGAGCGCATGTAATATAGGAGCGTCAGAAAGGTCGGTACCAGGAGCGCCGAGGACTTCGGCGCGGGCGAACAAGCGTGGTGTAAAGGATGTCCATAGTGTAAGACAGGAAACTGCAGCGAAGAGGTATACGAGCAGTCTCAACTGCAGAGTCCAAGGCTTCGGGCGTTGCATTGCCCTCTCCGCTAGGTTATCGATGGGGCAGGGGAGGCATGAGGTTTCTGTTCGGCGCAAAGGGTGCGCAGCGACAAAATGAGCGTCGGACGGTTGTGCGCACTGAAAAAAGCGATTGACACAAACGAAGAGAGGCTTTTAGGAGAGAAGGGTTAAAGAAAGGGAGCAGCGAGGGCGCTGACTGTCAGACGTGATGAGGGACATGCACCGCCCCTCTTGAGGCCACAGTTGTGGCTGACACCTGCCAAGACATGTGGCTTCCGTCATCCAATATCTCCTGAGGCATTGTCTTACAGCACTCACGACACTCAACCACCAGCATGTTATTTTTTCATTACTGCTCAGAGACACAGAACGATTACATCAAATTTCGGAATTTGTGTTTGGAACACATAATTTGTAGATGCACAATTGGAACTAATTCAACATCACCGTGTTTACAGAGATACCAGCACTAGCTCCAAAAGGTATAATATTTACACGAACTACAACATCAAACGTTGCCTATTCTAGGTCCAAAGCCATATTTACAATCCACCAAATCTGCAGTGAAGACTACGCGCAGACTAATTTTCCCTTCTAACAATCTACCCAAGCTTATCCAAAAGAACCAGACGCTTAAGCAAGAGCAGGGTTAGCGTTCTTGAGAAGCATCTCAAAGTAAGCCTGGAACCAGGTTCCGGCCTCAGGAGCGGGCTTGAAGGCGCTGTTCCTGCCGCAGTGGGCATCGTAGCGGGCAGCGCTGGTGTTGGAGGTACCGTCAGACTGAATAACATGTTAGCAGTTGGAAAAATCAAGTTGCGGTTTTCATAGATATAGTACGTACCTCGCCACCGGGCTTGACCCAGACGATAGCATCAATGAGCGCATTGCCAGTGTTGGTGGTGGGACGGGTACCGAAGCCAGCACCTGAGACGTTGCACCAGTCACCCCACTCCTGCTGGTTAGTGGGCACCTTTCCGGAGCGGCCCTGGTCGACGATGAAGTGAGCAGGGAAACCCTCGTTCTTGAGAAGAGGAGCTAAAGCGTTGATGTAGCGCTCCTCGTCGCAGTTCTTGTTTCCTTGGGTGATGGACGGGCAGGAGGAGATGCGGAGAGCGTTGTAGTTGCTGACGTTGGTGACAATACCACGGACACCACGAGGAGAGCCAGCAGCCTTGTAAACCTCTGCGAAGAGCTTTGCGGTGGGACCAATGTTGGCGTCCCAGCCGAGCCAACCGGCGTGGCCACCGTCCATGTACATGTCGACGTTGTTGAAGTTGAGCGTCTTGAGGGCGTAGGCAGTGAGCTCCTTGTAGTATGGGGCGGCGCGCGAGCACTTTTGCACACCCATGTTGGTGACCATGTTGGCAAGGGAATCGGGCTCAATGGCAAGGTTGATCTTGACGTCGGGGTACTTCTTGATGATGGCGGCAATCTTGTCAATGTACTGGGTCTTGTACTTCTCGACGCCACCGTCGTCAATCTTGAGTTCACCGTTGGAGGCCAGAGCGGCGCAGTCACGGTCAGGAAGGTCGTAGACAACAAAAGTACCCATGAGGTTTGCGCCAGCAGCGTTCTTGGCCTTGATGTCTGCGAGGTAGGTATCCATAAGAGGAACCTTGGCCATAGTGTCCATCCACACGAATGATCCGACCTTGGCCACGGCGGTAGCAGCAGGCTTCAGCGAGGCTGGAAGTGAGGGCATGGCCAGGGTGTGAACTTCAGACGAGTAGTATGGGTTGGCGTAGAAGTTCTTGCCCGCGAAAGGGTTGCCAGAGGGCGCAGGGGTCGGAGTAGGCGTGGCCTGGGGCAGAGCCTGAGCCAGGCCGGCTGCGAGCGCAGCGGTAAGGAAGACGTTGGAGAGCATCTTTGAGAACCAAGAAGGAATGTGGTGAGGTGCGTAGAGAAAGACAAACAGTGAAGTCCTCAAGCCATATTTGTATGCTGGCTGTCGACCCTTTGGGCTGGCGGCTATGAAGTCTTCATCAATCTCCAAATTGCTTCAGCCGGTGCCAATGTCCGTAATGCCGTAGTCGAGCTCCCTTGACTGGCTTCCCTAACCCGATATTCGGCCACATGATGGTGGAAAAGCGGTACCTGAGCCCCCGCATCTTCTCGAAACATGCACCGAAGACGCCACCTCATGACTATCAAAGTCCCCACATTTGATGAAGGTGCATCGTCGACGCTGCTTCTTGGACGGATACTAGGCTATGTACTCCGGCCGCCGAGCAAGTAGTCTTGTATCTTGTGAGTGCGCTATTCCTGAAGGGAACATAGTCGGCGTATGATATTGGGGTAGGCCTTGGAATTGGGCTTGACATATGCTTGGCCGAACGCATGACTAGATACGAGTGGGTGACAAGAATCCCCAAGCGCTAGGCGACTTTGACTTCATCTATGGCCCTTTTTTGTGCATTCCTAGAGGACTGTTGATCAACCAGCTAGATACTGGGCGCCGATGTTCTGTGCCGCATCTTCGCATCGGCTGTTAAGTGGTGATTGATTCTCGGCTCCTTCGTGCCACTAGCGCGCCTTGGGATACCCACACGGTGTTGTTTAACATAACCTCGTCTTCTTTAATGACATTGTTCATTGTAGCTTTCCTTTTTTGTTATCTCTTGAGGTTGATTTTTTGGCGCAACTAGGTCCTGCAAGCGAATACCTATAACCAGGTTGCATATATGAACTGATAGTGCTCGACTGGGTTGCGAGAGCACATTTCCCGGTCCCCCTCCGGCGGGTTAATCTATTCTTCTGCGCCATGTAAATTGCTGGCGCTCGACTACCGAACCAGATGACGTTACGCTCACTGTTCAAGTAAACAAACTGGGATTATCTAGCCTTAAAAGAGAACGGACTTTATGTAGTTCGTCGCACGGCCAGTATCTGCCCTTGCGGGTGGGTTTTGGGAGTGGGAGGTATAACGAACGAAGTAGTCCGGGGTACTTCACGCCACTGGCCAACGGTGTTCGCTGTCTACATCCAGATATCTGCATCTGCAGACTTAGCGCACTTGCTCATTTCTTTCTCAAGTCCACTGCCAGCTGTCCACAGAACGGCTGAGCCTTTACCCAAGATTAAAGCATCAACTCTTGCGCCCACAACAATCTATCTTGGACATGAGATACCTATGGTACATGGTACACTGTAACTATAGATCATATATAGTGTTGCGGCCCTTACCGTGGCTACATAGCTTATGCACGCAAGATATGCGCAAGTCTATCTACAAACTCAAAATACCCGGTTATTGCAAGCATCCCAACCTGGCTTCCCGGTGTCCCCCGCGCCGCACTATGCATCGTCCCTTTTCTAGTTCTTCTTCCTAGGCAATACTACAGCTCTAATAACATTCTCAGAGTACCTTGGCTGTATACTCGAACCGCCGATCACAATCACATGCAAAAGTACTCTTGGAACTGCATACATGTCGGATTTCAGTGCCACTATTCCGACTAAGGTCATTATTCACGTACTCAGATAACATCTAAGACTCAGTTATGCCTCGTACAATTTACAAAAGCAAGGCCTAGCAAAGCCCAGCCCCCACCAGCATACTGCCTCTCCTTTGTCATTCACATGACCCTCTTGCCACCCTTGGCCCCAAAATACCACACCACACACCCCACGCTCACCTCCTTTTTCACCACCAACCCCAATTTCCCCGCTCTCTTCAACCCCTCTCTCACCTCCCCATCCCGCATATCACCCTCTGTAATTTTAACACTCATAGCCTTCATCCCCCTATTACACCTCTTCGAGAAAAGCAGTATAGCATCTGAAATCTGCTCTGCTACTTCTTCTGGCGATGCAGTTCCAACCTGTTTACTGCGAAATGGAAGATGTGGGTGGTGTACGTTTTTCTTTCTAATCTTTACTTCAGGGACGAATAAAGTGTCTTCCGAGGATGTAGAGCAGATACTATTTTTTCTTTGGACTTCATCTGCGGCGGACTCGTCGGCGTGGTAGCCATAGTCGATGTTGTCAGTGTTGTCGCTGTGGTTATCGCTGACGACGAAGCTGTCGAGTTCGTAGGATTCGTTGCTAAACTCGTAAGTACTGTCATAGCTTGTGCTACGCTTGTGCAGTGTGGTACGTGCTAAGAAGGTCGCGTGGAGAGGTGGAAAGGAAGGATGTTGGTCGTCTTGTGTGGCGAGTTCGGTGTCGCTGTCCGGGTAATCGGATGATGATGTAGAGTCAGTAGTTGAACCAATGATGAATGGGTGAAGGCGACGGGCGTTGTTAGGTTTAACAAAGGTCATGGTGTTAGATGGTGGAGTGATGGTATTGTTGTGACTTTCTGCGCGAGATAGTGAGCCATCGGATTGAGTGCAAGATGCATATCTCTGCCATGTGGCCCTTTTTGCTAGACGTGCTGACCTTCGTACGAGCTGGCTTTCTTGATTGGGGATGATGCTGGGGCTGCATTCGCAGTGAAGGGAGACTCTGGCAATGCGAGGAGACATAGTCACGCAGATCTACTTTTCCAAGACAAAATGTGATGTTGAGTTTTGCAGTTGATGGATTAGAATATTTTTTCAGGACTATGGAAATCACACCAACATAACTGAAGATTTGATCTTAACAATGCTAAAAGGAACTTGTCACAAACATATCGAGATCCTGATGGTCACGCACAAGCTCATTGTGTCCTCAAGGATAAAGAAATCTTCTTGGTTATGACAACAGCACATTTGAACGAGAAATCACTATTGAATAATTGGTCCCAAGTAAAGACATGACGATGAATAGTTTGAAGCGTATCTGCAGTGTATTGAATGTACACAATGCCCATGTCTTAACAGAAAACACGATCAATTACTGCCAATCTTCCTTTTGTAGCTGTCATAGCTCTCGCAAATCTTACAATGAAATCGTCGAAAGAAAATATAACGCCGCCCATATGCTAGGGGGTATCGTTTCATACCAGTAGCTTTTTTGATGATGCGCTGAATACTGAATCCAGACGGAAAAATGGTTCCATAGAACGCCGGATTGATGAATGCTCCCGTTTGAATTTTAGGGCTGAAGCCGGTTATGTGGACAAATGCAAAATAATAGCCCTATGCGGAAATCAATGGGCCATGGAAGTCGCGCAAAGTGGCCACTAGATCATCCTCACGGAAGAGCTGCAAGAGTAATTTTTCTTGCACTTCCTTCCATTTCCTGAGCGCATCCAGCTCGCCTTTGCTCAGCCACTTCTCTTCATTTCCCACAACATCGGAACGCTCCGCTTTGGTAAGGAGGAATTGGACTTTCTCTCGCTCGTAGGCTATGCGTTGAAGGATGCGCACCATTCCCTTGTATGTGTCGTGGAGCAGTTTCTCACGAGCGCGCTGTCGGTCATACCAGACCAGGTGGAGAGAGTGTTTGGCTTCTCGTCTGTCGACCTTGGGAATCTCCTGAGTCTGAACAATGCCTTGAACTGTCAGGTCGTTGACGATGCCGCGGATGTCATTGGCGGACATCATCATGATATTACAGATTGCGCGCTCATCGAGTCTACCCTTCTTCCGCAGGGCCCGAATGAGTTTTACGCCTAATGTGCCCTTTCTTGCTGAGATAGTGTTTTCGACTTCATTCTGTATCATTTGTCTCGCGATCTCGTCGAACTCAATGTGCCATTGTGAGAATCCAGCGCGCGAATGCCAAGTGACAAAGTGAAACGGGTCTTCTGCCAGCATTTGTATGTGCTTGTCCACGACTTTTGTCTTCTCTTCCATATTGAGCTTCGCAGGATCTGTTGGTGCCGTCCAGATGTTGGTTCGGTTCACGTGCCCCTTTCGAGTGATTTGCACAGCCGCATTAGGGTCAAGACCTTCAAAGATATCCAGATCCTGCTCTCGACTGAGCTTTACTGCAACGTCACGCGCAGTGATGAGATAGCGAGGGTCGATGTTGTTTTCTGTAGATGGTTCAACATTGGCCAAGTGCGGCTCAGGCCACTCTTCCCAGCAGCGAGGCGTCTTCGATTCCAGCATGCGTAACATGGTCTGGTACACACGCGCAGTGACCGACCCTAGACGTTGCTGTACCAGATGGGCTAGTTGCTGTGTTCGCATCGCGACAGCAATCTTCTCAGGGTTGACACGGATAACAATGTCATCATCCGATGATGGTGCAGCCCAACCGTTCGCTCCGTTGGTCTTCACTCTTTTATTAGATCCGTTGGTTTGCCGCGCAAACTTTGGAACGGTCAGCCACTCGTCGCGCATTGCACGCTTGCGCGCTAGGGTGCCTCTGTTGACTATATCTTTATCTTTGGTTCCAGTAGGTGTGATGCCTGCATTGTCTTGTTCAATCGACTCTTGGTAGAGCATGTCATGCATGTCTCCGGGGGAGAGATACTGCGTTTCCGTAACAGTCCTGACCCATCCGTTCTCGATCAAGGTTTGGATGAGCTCGTATAGCTCGTTAATGGAAGTGATATCACTATCATCCTGCTCTTGGCTAGGCTCCTTGGGTGCGCCGTTCTGTGTCACCCCGTCGACCTTGGAAGCCTTGTGTACGCCGTTGGTTTTTCCGTTGCCATTTGCCAGCGTTGCCGGGTCTGGCTTTACATCCTCCAATTCAGAGGGGACCCCATTTGTAGCACCATTTGTCTTTGCGTGACCGTTTGCATGAGCACCGTTGGTGCGCTTTCGCTTGGAGCCGGCGCCGTTTGCAGCGCCGTCGTCTGACTCATCATCACTGTCGGTCTCGGGTGGGAAGTATGCTTCTTTCAAATCGGCGATGCGTGTGTGGCCGAGGGCGAGCAGGTTGGACATGACATTGGCAGCCTTTTTGCCAAAGCGATCTTCGACCAGCTTCGTGACCTTGCCAAAGCGGACGATTGCGTACGAGTTTTGCCAATCGATTTCGTAGTAGGTCAAGGGCGCATCGTTACCGGAGTGGAAGATGAGGTGCTGCTGGAGGAGAATGACGAGGCCATATTTGATCTGCCGGGCGTTTAGGTAAGAAGCGCGGGCGATGGAAGCGAGACTCTGTCGGCCATGGCGCGCGAGCACCGAGTATACCCGCTGTGAGTAGTTAGAAAAGGTGACTCGAATGCGCCTGTCGCATGACTGGAGCAGAATTTCTCGTCATGCAGGGCAGGCTGCGCAAATAATTTTTTTCGCGATCAAACGTACAGATGCGAGTTCGCCGTAGATGTCCTCGACAAGGAGGGTGCAGAGGTCCGCGAGTATCTGGAGCAGTGTTGGTCATGAATCATGTGGTGGAAGCGCATGGCGGCGGGCGCGCAGCTTACCGGAGTCTCGCGCTGGTTGTAAGACATGTCTGGGCCTAGATATTTGCCAGATATCTAGGAGGGGGATAGTGCTACCGGGGAGACATTGGTGGGGGATTAGAAGCCAAGGGGTGGAAGGGAGAGGTGGAAGCTGTGTGTAGAGCAGAGTGAATAGTTGCAATGGGAGAATGGAAAAGCGCAAGCCGACTTTCTCGAAATGGAGACGGGTGGGGTGGCTGTTCTCTGGCACCCGCACCGGCCAATGGCGAGGGGAGCGAAGGCACTTACTGGCCTTGGCGCTCTACGAACTTTGTGATGTCGACCCTCTGCATCCACCTCACCCCAAGACGTATCTCCATCCATTGTCGCCTCCCACCCCATCCACAGCCCTCCGCCCGGCGCCCTCTACACGATGCTCTCCCGAACGACCGCCTGCCGGGGCGCGCAGCGTGCAGCCCGCCAGCAGGCCGTCCGCCCGGCCCAGCGCCGTGGACTCGCTGCCCCAGCTTCAGGCTCCTTCCAGTACCAGGCCGGTGAGGCCAAGGGCGTCAAGTATGCCAGCAGAGACTTTGCCGGCCCTACGACGACTCTGGCTCTCGTATCCAAGGCTGGTACCCGCTTCCAGCCATTGCCTGGTCTGACCGAGGGCCTAGCCAACTTCGCTTTCCGGGTACGCCATTGAACATGCATCATCGCACTCATACAGCCCGGCTGACGCTCAATTGATACACAGGGCACTGAGAGGCGCTCAACACTGCGCATTGTCCGCGAATCCGAGCTTCTAGGCGCCTCCTTGAACGCCCACCACTCGCGCGAGAACCTGGTCCTTGAGGCAAAGTTCCTCCGCGATGACCTGCCATACTTTGTCGAGCTCCTCGGCGAGGTCGCCAGCTCCACCAAATACCTGCGTATGCCGAGCGCCCCAGTGGGGAAATGAGACGACAACGAGCCCCAGCTAACATGATGCAGCCCACGTCTACAACGAGGAGGTCCTCCCCTTGATCCACTTCGCCCACAAGCGCTTCCTCGCCAGCGTCACAGATATGGCCACCCAGTCTGCCCACGGCCTCGCTTTCCACCGCGGCCTCGGCACCCCAACCGCGTCCGCTTCGCCCACCCCGTACACTAAGTACCTCGACGCCGAGACCATCGAGTACTACTCTAAGATTGCCTACGCCAAGCCCAACTTCGCCGTTGTTGCTAACGGTGCCGATCATGGCGAGTTCTCCAAGTGGGTTGGCGAGTTCTTCGACAATGTCCCCAGCTCCGCTACCCAGGAGTCAAGCATTGGTGCCGAACAGACCAAGTACTACGGTGGTGAGGAGCGTATTGCCCACGATGGCGGTAATGCTATGGTCATTGCCTTCCCCGGTTCCAGTTCCATCACCGGCAAGTTCTACAAGCCCGAAATCGCTGTCCTCAGCTCTCTGCTCGGCGGTCAATCAGCCATCAAGTGGTCGGCAGGTTTCACCAAGCTCGGCCAGGCTGCTGCACCAGGTGCCAAGGTCACGACCACCAGCGCCATTTACTCCGACGCCGGTCTCCTCTACACCACCATCACTGGTTCCGCCAAGGCTGTCGCACAAACCGCCCAGGCTTCCGTTAATGCCATTAAGAAGATCGCCGCTGGTGAGATTTCAAGCGAGGAGGTCTCCAAGGCAAAGGCCGCCGCCAAGTTCAAGGAGCTTGAGAACGGCCAGGACATCCGCGCTGGTCTTGAGCTTACTGGCAACGGTCTGATCCACAACACCCAACCGTACCAAATTGACGAGGTTGCCAAGAAGATTGACGGTGTCTCAGAAGAGACTCTCAAGAAGGTGAGTATTTTCTCAAGTCTCAGATCTATGCAAAATGCTAACAGATGGACACAGGCCGCCAAGGAACTACTTGAGTCCACCGCTTCAGTATCAGCTGTTGGTGATCTTTTTCAACTACCGTATGCTGAGGACCTTGGTCTCAAGGCGTAAATACAACAATCTTGTAGTGAAGTTTAGAGGGAGAATCTCGTTTGGCCGGGGCTTGTGTAACATTATCTTGTGATAGTCCCGATAGATGCATCTCATATGAGAGTTCTTTTGTTCAGTTGGGTCGTTTAAAACTAATTGCCGTGTTAGTATGTGAGATAGTTATCATTTTGAGATCCATTGGTGAATGTACTACGTATGTATGTGGGCTATGACGCAGGTCGTGGATCAGATCAGACCAAACCGCAGCTCTCACGTGCCCGCGCGTCAGCCTTGGCATGTCATTGACCAGCGTCCAACGCCAACACCCAGACACGTCCCCCGGCCACACGCCAATCAGAGTCAGACACCACAACCCACGAAGTCACTTTGTGTGCTGCCATCTTAACATCTACCACTACCTGTTAAGAAAAGTCGAAGACGCGCAAACTAAGGGAAAAAAAAGTTGAAATCACATACTCGCTGCAACCATGGCACCTACCCTCTACCCCCGCGGCACAGTCAAGAAGATAGTAAAAGCGCATTCGAACCGGCCACTTAGCAAGAATGTTGATATTCTCGTACGTCTTTCTTCTCTTACCCATTCACACCGAGGGCTCGAATAGAGTCGAGAAAAGAAAGATATAGCTAATACGGGGCTTAGATTTACTTGAATTACGTGTTGTTTATGCAAGAGTAAGTTTATCTTGGATCCCTCTTTTTTAGGAGCCTGCGGATGGTTTGGCTTGGAAGCAGAGAGAGGGAGGCTAATAAGTACTGTGTAGATTGATTAATGAGGCGAGTATCAAGAGTAAGCAGCGCGGGGAGAGGGGCATCTCGGCGAGGAGTGTGAAGAGGGTCAGTGAGGATGTGTTGAGGAAGTACAAGGGGTAAGGGCATGGGGTAGTGACGCTTGAGGGAGGGAAAGGCAAACGGGTTAAAGGTGTTTTGGGCGCATGGTTTGATATGATACCCGGGTTCGTAGTTTCACTCATATAATGAACAGGGAAATCGATTCTATATCTTATATACAACAGACACAAACACTTGATCTTTTACGCACCCACGTACGCGATCCAGACATATACCTCACTCCTTTACAACCTTTGGTACAACCCACCCATCCGCATACCTCTTTCCCACTCCCGCCTCTGGAATCTCAACCTTGATACCCGATACGTTCACTCCCTTCTCCGCAACCCAATCCTTAATCTCCGTAACCACCAGCCCCAACGCCACACAACTCGCCACTGCATTCTGCACTTCTTTATCCCAACTACTCTCCACACCCTCCGCCTTCGCCGCCTGCACCCCAATCCGCTTGTACTCTGCAAACGCCGCTTTCGCCGTCTTAAGTTGCCCATCGATCTCGCTCCACAGCGCCGAGTCTGAGTACGCTACGTGCTCAGCGAACTCAGGAGAAGGCGAGGCCACATCGCCATACGGCTGAGTATGTGCTTTAAAGTCATCAAAGTCCGGGACCTCAGGAGGCTGAAGCCCGAGAAACGGTTTCATGCGGACTTCGTAGCGCAGTTTCTCGGTGGAAAAGGGACGGCTGGGGATAGGCAGGAGATGCAAGTACAGCAGTACGATGTAGAAGCGTGCTAAAGCTAGACTGAAGGAAGCGGTTGCTTCCGCTTCGGCGATTAGGCTGGCAACATACGGTTCCGCGTCGTCCACTTGCTGCTTTTCTTGCATTTTCCCCTGGCGGAGGAGGTTGAATTTGTGGGTGGTATAGTGCGTTTGGACTCTACACAGTAGTACTTTTCTGCGTGTGGCAATGAGAGAGAGGAAGAGGTACATTCCTGCGTATTCGTCTGGAAGGTAGATTTCCTGCTCGAAGCCGAGTAGGATCATTTTTTCGACCATCCAGAGCTTCTTGTGGTATGCCCATGTTGAGAGGGAGAATTCCATGACAGCGTCAGATACACCCATTTCGTTGGCTGCGGCGGAGATGTCACTATCGGCTACACTTGTCTCGGCTTGCAGTATATCCCAGTGGCCAATAACATGCCTCAACATGCGCCGGACTCGACATCGGTTCTGGACCAAGGCAATCCAGAGGTCGAGGTAGGCTTGGTCTGCGCGCTCTACAAAATCGTCCATGAGAAGGGCCAGCTGGAGGCGTGAGGGTTTAGGGAGAAGTGGGTTGCGCGGCGGGGAGAGAGTCCAGTTGCCGGGGTCTAGGATGGGAGAGGCGGGCAGAACGAGAGTTTTTACGTCGCCGAGCGACAACGACATCGCTGGATTGTACATTTCTGGATGGTGTAGAATAGTTGATAGATATGATCTGGAATATGTGAGGGTTGGCGGCGAACGGGATGAGAAGTGCCAGAGGAATGATTGGTATTCGAGCGGATCAAGTTTGATGGAGATCAACCGTGTGGCTTCGTGGCAAGCGGAAGCCATATTCTGCAGCTTTTCTAAGGCATCTTTGAAATCTAGCTCAACAATAGGCCGTGGAGGAACGGTAGAGGCAAGCCGCCGTTGCATTTTCGGACTGAAAGCACCAGGTACTGTTTGGCCGAGTTGATGAGTAGTCCTCAGGGTGTCAATAATCTCGAGTACCGGTGGCCAAGAGTAGGGCATTCCCTCAACCGCAAGATCCACATCAAAAGCCTGAAGCAAATCTGTCCGTAATTCTAGTCTTGATAGAATGGCCTTTCGAAGAGCATCATTGATATCGAGATCGGGACTGCCGATTGTAAGTTTGTCGCAAATAGTCTGTAAAGACGAAAGTACTTACTCCTCTATTGTGTCAACGGCAACATCCAACTCTCTCAAAAAGGCGTCCATTGGCGTGCTCACGAATAAAACTCGGTTATACGTGTGTGTACAAAAGTCCTCCTCTTCATAGTAGTCTCTCCCAGTGACCTTCGCTATCACAAGGTCACATCCCTTGATCAAGCCTAAGCAGTACGCCCTTAGCACGTCTAGTAATGGTCCAGGTTTTGTTTCATTGGGAATTTCGCCACGGTAGAATCGTGCTTGCTCAAGTGCCTTGACTTCTGGCCATAATAGCTTGTCAATGTAGACGGATGTAAAGAGTGTTTGTGACAAAGGATAACCCGTATGCCATGCCATTTCATAGCACAATAGTTGGTCCATGATGCCGATAAGTTCCTCTGGTAGAAGGGGAGTTAGCGTGTCATAGTCGTCTTCTAGAGTCTCTCCGGGTTGGAGGAATCCACTATCCATCTTGGGATCCATGATCTGTTGATCCGGATCAGTAAGAAGTCGGCTTCAATAGCAAGAGTCGGCTACCTCGATTGCCCCAATAGACTCAAAGAGCGTAAAGTAGTCATCTTTAACTAGCTGACCGACTTCCAGAGCTATTCCATCTGTCAGCTACCGTCTGATTCCGTAGATGTAGTGATACTTGGGTCATCGCGGGCGGCGGGCGGCTTCGCGGCACAGCCCCGCCATGCCCCTCCATCATTCACATCGGTCAACTTACCATTACATGCTCGTGTAAACTTCTCGGTCACATCATAAATCTTTGACCGTGTCCCGCCCACCGAGTGTTTCGACTGTCTCAGGGGCAAGTCAGTGGGAGTAGTCGGCTGAAAAGCAGGCGCGGGCTCTTGCGCATGCGACAGATCTGAGCATGATATTAGTGAGGTGCATAGTTGCAGCACAACCAGATCGCTCTCAATATACCGGCAATGTCGGAATTATTATTTACGCCCAAGTTCTGCGCAGGGGCTGTTCTGTGGCTATTAGACGCATCTGCCATGTTGTGAGGTGGAGTCGTTTTCCAAGGCGGGAAGATTGTGACAGCCGAGTTGCAGCTGCAGCACCTAAGGCGAGCCCTGATGACCGGCACTGGTGATCACTAAGGTAATTTCCCAAACAACTGTCTACAAGCACAGAAAAAGTATTGCGAGAGACCGGGAGAGCTATTTAGCTTAGTTTGTCATGAATTGACCTAAATCCTCTCCGTACAGCTTGATAGTACAGAGTATACGTCCATCCTCCCCCAGCTCCTCTCCACATTCCATGTCACCCTATCGTGCCCTTGTTGTCTCCTCCTGAATTCTGAATTGATTTACGAAGACTTGGCGGCATCGGCCTGTGCCTGGAGTGCGGCAGCGTTGAGGTCCTTTACCTCGCCCTGCTTACCATTCTGCCCAATTCATTAGTTCCTGCTTGGTCCGCCCCTCCCCCATCTTCAGGTATGCACTCACTTCCCACTTGGAAAACTTGAGTTCGCTCTCGCCCCTTCGCTCGGCAGCAATGCGCTTGTCATCCTTGAGCGAGCGACGTACGACGCGCGATGCGACGGCAATGTAGCGGTTGTAGCTGCTCATGAGTCAATGGCGATTCCAATGGCAAAAATGCAGCGACTGCAGGGTCGGGAAGGCGTACGTGAGACCGGCGGCTTTCCACGCGAATGCCATTGTGATGGTTGGATGTGGTTTCGTGGCTATGAACGGGTTTTGCGGGTTGCGGATACAGTTGGCAAAGGTTGAGCTGCAGCAAGATTTCGCGGATGCGGCTCGGAGCTTGGAACATCACGTGAACAATCGCCGACAGCTCTCACGCAGCCATATCACCACCATTCTGCGCACTCATTCAGTCTTCAGCAAATAACAGTACTCTGAAATGGTCTTGAAGTCATGTTCATTATGTTTTCATAGGCTGCCTGCTCGTAAAAGCGCAACCGTGTCGTGATCTACAGTAACCCCTCGTCGAGGAGCACTCCTGGTCATACGCCTGAGACCTATGATGCTTGTAGTGAACCGTGAGAAACTAAGTCTCCTACAGCTCCATAGCTTCGCCGCCCTCCGCGTCATCGCCGCCTTCCCTGTTCTCGAACGTAGCGTCTAGCCACTCAGCAAGATCCTGGCCCTCGTAAAGCGCAAAGTTCTCGCCAATGCCGCCAATACCAACGCTGGTGTTGTCGACTGTTAGCTCCTTGTCCTGTGATAGCGACTCCTTCAGTGATCTCAGAGCGTGCTTAATCAATTCCTCCCTGCTGGCACCTTCGAACTCATCCAGATGCCTCTCGAGGTATGTCCTTGCCATCTGACTCCTGGCTCCAATACCGCATGCAATCATCTCCTGTGTGACACCGCTAGGCTGGAACTCGAACAGGTGGGGTCCCTTTGCGTCTACACCTGCAATCAACAATCCAACACCGTAAGGTCTCCGTCCATACTGCTGCGTGTTGGTTTGTGCGCGGTCTGCGATACGCGAAGTGATTTCGGAGAGGGGAATGGCGCGGTCGTACGTGAGCCGGGATGCGAGTGATTGCTGCTTCATGAAGTTGGAGAGAACGCGAGCATCGGAGGCGAGGCCAGCAAGGGCGACACCAAAGTGGGAATCTACGGGGATAATCTTCTTCTGGTATGACGAGAGCTCCTCAGCATTTCGCTGCATGGTGTGTTAGTTGAATTTGTCGACATAAAACAAGCAATGGAGGCGTCTACCTTGATTGCTGCAAGTACTGCGTGTGTCTTGCTGACAATGCCTACAACAACTGAACCCTGCTTGACAGCCTCTTGTGCATACTCGACCTGAAAGATACGACCCTGTGGTGAGAAGGTGACCGAGTCGTTGTCGTAGTTGTTTCTGAACATGATGAAGGTGGGATTTGTGGGGTTGTTGGAGCCAAAGGTGGGTTGATTGGCTTCACAGTGGCAAGAACTTGGCTAGTACAATGACTGATGTACACACGGTGAGGTGCTGTCACCAGGAGATTGCGTTGCGGCGGAGTGGGACAATGTGTAGTGGTCGTGATGGTGTTGCTGGAGGTTCCCGCAGCCGTCGTTGACGACGAGCTCCAGAAGCTCCGATGCTTGGCAGGTAGGCAGCACCCTAGCGCGCAACCTCACCAGCATGCGTCTGGACCACACGCAACAAGACCAACCACATCACAGCTCTCACATCTTTGCCGGAACGGGGATTGATATCACAGGACTCAGGCGCCTATCGATTAACGACTACTATCTTATATCTGCGGTATCAAGCACGATTCCAGCATGGCCGGCATCAAGACCATCATCGGACTGTCCTTCGTACGTCAAGCTGGCGCATCCTCGCGCGTTCCCTGATCGCATGCTTTCAGTACTAACGGAATACACAACAGGTCCTCGCGATAGGCTTTCTTCTCGTCATTCTCTCTGCCGCGCTCTTCCACAACTACCTCACGCTCCTCGTTGTTGCGACCTACGTAATCGCACCCCTACCCAACTGGCTTTGCAGCAGAGCAGCAAACCATGATGACTTTATGGAGAGTTCTGGAAACGGTGTGGTCGACTTTGGAAGGTTCTTGACCGGATTCTTCGTGGTCATGGGCATCGGTAAGTGCTCTCCTAGAATACGCGTTCGGTATGCGCCTTGGGCGGCTGCGTGCCTACACTCTCACGAGAAAGCGCGAAGAATCTATTGAGATCCATCCAAATCAAATATAAAACTGACTTATACCAGCACTCCCAACGCTCCTGTGGCATTCGGCCGAAATCGCAGGAGGTGCCGCAGCTATGTCCATCTTCGGCGGTCTGTTGATTTACGCGACCATCATTAGCTTCACGCTGTTCTTCCAGGAGCAAGAGGATTTCTGACTAGCCGGCGGAACTCAGCAATGAGGAACCGCATACATACTATTTCCAAGCGCATCGCTTGGCGCCTCGAAAAGAAGTTGAGGTACTTTGGTAATGGAGGCTTCATGCCTGGATGGATGGATTGTTGCTACTGCATATTTCTGTTACCTGTACAGTTTTTATGAGCGTTCTTGTATGAGTATGTTGGACATAATGCATTGGTTGAGCCAAAAGAACTACCACGAGAATGTAAATGTGAGCCCGCTGATCAACCGGATATGAAACATGACAAAGGCTATTGAATTAATGGAAACTAGCATCTCAAGCATATTCATACATTGCGATCGTTGTCGCTCCGCTCAGCGCCTCAACATAAAGTATCCTGTGTAACACAACCATCGCTCCGTCCGGATAACATCGGACAAGATATGCCCAACAGACTTCAACTTTAGATAGCATTCTTACAACGCCAGGTTGTACGTGTACTCATCCTCCATGTTCTGCGCGACCCAAAGCACCGCGGAACTGTGACATATTAGCAAGCATGCTCGCGCATTCCTTCAAGACTGTGTACTCACCTCAGCATAACCAACGCATTGGCAACAACATTGCCAACGCCCATCCACAGGGTTGGCCATGTGTGCTCTGGCACAACAAACTTCATAACCATGACCACCACACTTCCTGCCAATCCGCCGGCCAGCAGCGCGAAGCCCAGGAACAGCACTAGCCTAGCCTTCCACGCGACACCATTTCCAGAGTAGGAGAAGCTATCAGCAGAGAGTCGCGACTTGTCAATACTGTTGATGACTAGCATGCCAAGGGCGCTGCAAATGCCTGGGACCCAGTCGACGAAGGTGATATGGACGCGTGGGTCGGAGCCGTTCATGGCCGACTTGGACCATACCGAAATGTCGATGAGGGTATAGAAACCGAGAGCAAACTGCAAGGCGATATCAGTAGGTGCATCAGCGCTGTTGGCTATATGGAGTAGTTCGCACCAGAGCTCCTGCAATGTAGACGCCTGCAGTCCTTGTGTTTGCGCTGTTCAGCCATGCGGGCTTCGGGAAGCGGAAAAGGCGATTTGAACCCTCCATGATGACTTGAGACCTCCGTATGGGACTGTGAGATAGATGTGGGTGCGGGCGTTATGAAGAGTCGTTGAGCAGCAAGGCAGGGCGTGATGATGCTGGGGAAGCTGTCGCTGCGGATGCGCCTGCTGGGGTCGCGCGCCGGTTGCCTTGGCGCTTGACGTTCCCCATCGGCAGCTCCAAAACGCCGATCTGCCCAAAAAAAGTTCCCCAGCACTGCCGTTTATTCATTCCACTTCACAGAACTTTTCTAAGCACTACTCTTACCGACCCGTTTCCTGCTTTCGTCAAAAATGGGCGCAACTAAACCGGCTTCCAAAGGCAAAGGCGCCAAAGGAAAATCTGGCGGCAGCTCCAGTAAATCCTCGAAATCGAAATCGAAATCGAAACCTACCGGAAGTGCGCCAGAGGGTATATCGAAGCGCAAGCAAAAGTCGTTGTCGTTGGCTAAGCCAGGTGGCGAGCAAAAGACCAAATCAATCGTAACAAGGGATGGCAAAAAGAAAAAGAGGGTGTATACAGAGAAAGAGCTGGATATCCCAGCGCTCAACGGTATCATCCCCGCTGGCATTGCGAAGCCAAAAGGCGTCAAGAAGGGAAAGAAGTTTGTGGATGATCCGGCTAGCATGGTATGTAACTTTTCGTCCCTTTAATTTCTTTTCTGCGAGTTGTACCTCAAGGGACAATCGTACTAACCATACTACTGTCGTAGATGGCTATCATGTCCGTTGTCAACGCCGAGAAAGAAGGTCACCTCGAGTCCAAAATTGCCAAAGCGCGCCAGCTAGAGGAGATCCGTGAAGCCAAGAGGAAAGAAGCTGAGGCGAGGAAAGAAGACAAAGAGGCCAAATTTGAGGAGAGGAAGCAGGATCTCAAGAAGAAGAAGAGGAAGAGACATAGCGAGCCGAGTGCAAAGAGCGATGAGGGAGACAAGATCAAGGAAAAGGACAGGAAGTTTAAGCAAAAGAAAAGGGTTAGCTTCGGCTGAAACGGTGTGAGAACATGAGGTGAACAGAGTACTTATGGAATTTTGAGTTTTCTATGAAGCATAGGGGCGAGAGGGAGAAGAAAGCAAAGGAGAACGCCGATTTCCACCACAAGAAGAGCTATTCTCGAGAGCATCATGTGCAAAGAACGTATGAGCAGAAGCAACATGAGAGAAACAGTCGATTGGGCAAAGGGCTAAGTCTATATGCGGTCTACGAAATCTAGAGCAAGTCTATGATACCCGAATACCATTCAATGAAAATCATTACCACCACCACCCTCTACTCGCTCCTACGCATCGGGCAATATCAACCTTCGATGGTTTGGATCAAAGATTGGATATTTCTTTCCTTGCAACCCGCCCATATTCACGCCCTCGTTTCCCTCGCCCACACTTTTAGATGCCTCGAAGTCAACCTCCTCATTCAACTTAGTCAAGAATTTGGACGTTGCAACGGCAAACCATCTTCCGCCGCCCAGCATGAAACTTCCCAAATGGCCACCCCAGTCCGTTGTGCAAAGTAGTACATTGGGATTCTGCTTCACCTCCTGATACGGCAAGCCGGCCTTGCTCGAAATTGGGTCGTCTTCGGCGTTGATACCAAGGAACGGGATACGAACCGCCAGCAGCGCATCCACGCTTTGCGAATCGCGATAGTATGCGCCCTCTGTCGGATATCCCCATGTCGGACACTGAACCTGTCGGTCGAATTCGTGCAGAAATCTACTGCGCAATACAGCGTCAACGTCGAGACCAGGATTCCTAGATATCTGCTCGCGATGCTGATTGAAAAGGCCTAGGAGATTTTTACCCATGGTGCGCGAGTAGACATGGAGGCCAAGGTATGTGCGCTGCAGTTCTGTGTTGCAGACTTCGAGGTTCCAGGGGTTGCTGCAGGCAACGGCCGCACGTAGGAGGCATTTGTCGCCTTCTTCGCCGCAGTAGTTAGTTAGAATGTTGGCGCCCAAACTGAATCCAACGCCGTATAGGGGTCGGTTGGGGAACAGATTGCGCAACTCAATGATGGTTTGTCGGACGTCCCATGTTGCGCGGGCGTTGAAAAGTTGAGGCGTGGTTATCTTGGAGAGAGCGCAGCCTCGTCCGTTTACTACGCAGGCGGCCCAACCAGATGCGATAAGGGGTGCGAGGGTTTCGCGGAGGTAGACTTCGTGGGATCCGCCACTGAGGCCGTGAAGGGCTACCAGCATGGGCTTTGAATCTGAGCTTGCAATGCCTTCCCATTCTTCCTTGGTAAAGTTGGTGGTGCGAGCTGGAAGGGGTTCATCCTTTTCTTCTGGCGTTCTTTCTGGTGGATTTGGGCTACCCTCAGACAGATCTACTGCAAAGTCGACGGCAAATGTGCCTGGGTAGACGGAATGGTTTGAATTGAAGATTTGTCTCTTATAGTAAACTGGTGGACCCGGGTTTTTGACAGCTGTGTACATGGTTTGTAGGTGGCCGTTGAAGAGGAAGGGGTTCAGGCGACATGGCGGAATTGAGGAGGCAGCGACCTCTTCTAATGTGGTCTTCGATCCATTTTTAGCCTTTAGAGTCGCAGGGGATTTGTGGGATGTGTAGGTGGTTTTGCTGTGGCCTAGCAGCCACGATAAGTTCAACATGGTGACTTTTGCTGAGATTGTAGTGTGCTGGAAACTCGATAACAAAGAGGCTTCTTTTTCTTCTTGTAATTCAATTCTCCTTTCACATGTGTCGTCCGGAATGCCTCGGGATGTGAACAAATATGGGGCTGGAGAATCCTTTCCTATATGCTAATTCTTTCTCAAGGCACCCCAATTGTCTGGATGTGTAGATATCTCGCCTATGATGCGTATAAAACTGTGGAATCTTTAACCCTTACGGCTAAACAAGGAGCGAGAGAACAATCAAATCGATTTCAGACCCAGGACGCAATAAATCTATAGCGCTGAACACATTTGAAAAGAGCCTCGGCTTGTAAATCCACTAGGCCGTATCAAGTGATGTTACAAGCGCGCGTCTATCTACCAATCGCGCTCCGGTAGCCTGGCGCGTTCGCGACTTCCTGTCCTTCGCGATTGCCCATGTCACTCATGTCTTGACATTCTCACCCCCGCTTTCGCCCATCATGCAACGCTTTCGCATTGAATTATCGTGATCCTTTTTCGCTATAGTCTTCTAATGGACCCCCGGTACAACTGGCCGCCGCAAGGCTATCCGAACGGCCAGTATAACCCGTATGCGCCGCCGCCTCCGCCTCCACAACAGCAGCAACCGCCGCCCAACGGCTACCAGCAACAACATGGCTACCCACAATATCCTCCAATGCATATGCAGATGCCCATTCAACAAGGCTATTCACAGTCACAGCCAGCGCCATACCAGGTCCCGCCGCAGCCTGTCATGCCTCGGCCCTCGAATCAACAATACCAGCAATATCAGCAGATGCCGCCACAAATGCAACAGCCACAGCATATGCAGCAACATTCACAGCAGAATTCACAACAGTATATTCAGCAGAGTCCCCAGCAACGCCCACAACAACCGCAGCAGCATATGCAGCAACCTATGCAACGGCTTCCCCAGCAATCTCCTCAACAACCTCCACGACAACCTACTCAACAACCTCCACGACAACTTAATCAACAACCTAACCAGCAGCCCACCCAGCAGCCTGCACAGCGGTCTCCCCAACAGGTGCAGTATCGATCACAACCACAAGTCGTAATTCCAGCGAGGACACCCAACTATGGGGACCCTATGCAAATGCAACCCCCGCGGATACGGCATGTGCAGGTGCCAGTACAACGTACAAGCAGCGTAGGGATTCCTCAGACAGATGGTTCGGCCAATCAACAGCGCCGATATAGTGCACAACAGCCGCAAGTTATGCCTGTCGCGAAGCCAGTCCAGCAGTCATCGTCGCAGCAAGAGAATGGACCTAGACCCCAGCCACGACCCGCAAACACGCCGACACAGAACCAGAACCTGCAGCGAGCGCCCCTTCAACCACAGACCACGCCTCAACAACAACGTGTACTACCCCCGACACAGACACCGACCAGCCAGTATGCAAATCTGGGCACGCAGCCACCTTCGTCTAAACCGAAAATGCACCCCCAGGTCGTCATACCTCGAGCCTCTTCGTCCCACCAACTTACACCAACGAAGCGTGCACATGTCCCTCAAAAGGCCCTTCCTGCTGAACTCTCCGACCTGCTTCTTACTGCAGCGGACGAATACATCGCCGCCGCACGGGGCATGGTATCACTTTTAGGGAGTCAAAGAAAGGAAGCTGATGTCAGACAATACTACAAACTTATATCTACTGCTATGGGGTGTATGGATGCTGTGTTGAGGGACTTTAATATGCCGCCTAGGGATGAAGCAAAGTTGCGCCTAAGATATGCAAGTCTTATGATAGAAGAGACGGACATTGAGGCTACGGATATTTCAAGTCGCATTGAAGAGATTCTTTCCAAGCAAATATCACTGTGTGGCAGACATAGATTACAGGATTTGAAGTTTGCTGCCCTCCATCTCCAAGCGCGGTACCAGTTCAAGACAAACCATCGAGCCGGTTTGAAGTCCTTAGACAAACCAATATCTGAAGCAGAGACTTTTCAGCACATTGCTTGGGTATACGCATTGCGCTTCCTCAAGGTGACACTGGCATTGCAAATACCAGGTCGTGTGGAAATAGTCATGATTCTACAACAATTACATGCGATACAGGGCCATGCGGAACGACGTGGAGATCGTGCCATCTATGTGGCGTGTTGTGCGCTTGAAGCGATGGTCCACCTGCGGTCTGGCGCCGCAGATCGGCTTGAGCAAGTTCAACGCGCTATTGCAGCAGCGCGGAGTCTACAACTTCAGGTGTCAGCTAAAGATCTGGGCTCTTTTGGCACTCTGATTGATGTTATTGATGTTGCTAGCGGCATCCAGACTGGCCGACCAGACACACGGAAAGCGACGTCCCTTCTCGAAGCTATATTGGGCAAGAAGGATGAAAAAGGAGGCTCTGAAACCGGAGTCTTTACTGTTCTCATTGAACGAAGCTATGGTGGTAATCTGACGTTCGATACAGGTGGCGTGTTCAGGAAGAACGCAGAAAGAAAAGATGAACTCGTTTTTGCTTGGCTTCCACGGGAGGACCTCAAGGCACTGTGTTTTCACATTTGTGCTATGGAACATCATGTGCATGAGAAAGGCTTAATATACATGAAGGAAGCTCGTCAACGATTTAGGGAATCCGCGAAGCGTCGAAACCTCATGGGCATACCCCCTTCTCTTGCATTCGCTCGGATTGAGTGGAACATGATGTTGGAATGGTATTCGATGTTCTCTATCGGACTCATGGCTTGCTCTCGAGACGACCACGCAACGGCTGAAGATGTTCTTAGTGGACTGAAGAAACGTATCGCTCTGCCTCCATACAACAATCAGGAGGCCTTTGCACGCACCCTTGCATACCTTTCATCTGTCAACGATCAGGTCAATGGCAATCTTGAATCTGCAATAAAAATTTCTTCTGGAGAAGTTCTTGCAATACCGGAGAAAGGCCATGCAGTTCCAGCTCGAGCCGATATAGCAGTCATGGCAGCATTGAACCGCTTGCTCATTCTTCGCGATCCTAACCACTCGCAACATTTCCAGTCGAGCATGCTGCTAGAGCAACTAAAACCCTTTTGCGAAGACCATCCAAACCAATACATGCGCATGGCTTTCCGCCTCGTCCATGCCTTCCACGGCGAAGCTGCCGCCATCTCCCACCAGAAGAAGACTGTCCAACAAGCCGTCGGCACAGCTCAAGAGATTTCTCAAAAGACGCAAAACTTCGAGTTTGTAGCCATGACAATGTGCTACTTTGTCGCACGCTTCTTCGCCGATACGGTGGGCGAGAAGAGTATCCAAGCTATCCGTGCGGCGAGATCACAGGCAATCAAAGGTCGGAAGCCTTTGTGGATGGCTGTTGCAGCTGGTCTTTGTATTAATACATATCGGCACAATGGGCTTATGGATGAAGCAGCCAAGGCCACGAGGGAGTTCGAGGCCGTGAGACCGCAGTTACCACTTATACTTAGAGGTGAAGGCGATTTAGATGCTGAGGGCGAAGACGATGTTGATGCGGATGGTGATATCGATATTGTCGGTTAGAAGGAGCAGTTATTTTTTTTCTTCTGCACGCAGTTTCTTCTATCTTCTTCCAACTCAGTGTATGGAAACCTTTTCTATTCTTGCATTTCTCTGGCGTCATATGGGGGACTTGTGTTATGTAATCTGGTTCACGATACCATGTGTGTAGGGTTTTCACTCGGGCGCTTGTCTACAAATAGTTTTTTCCTCGTGTGAAGAAATGGTGTTTACGTAATAACTACAATTCTTCTTTCTCTGGTTGCAGTATTCTTGCATATTTGACACTTGCCTTTGAAAATGCTTTGATTGGCGATGATCTCATGCCTCTGATGATTTGGATTTTTCAATAAACATGACCTGCTGGTGTGGAGTTCATCGTATTTTCCTCGATCTAGGTTTCAGAAGGGAGCATCTCAAAAAAAAAGGTTTCCCGAAACGCCATTGTAGATGGGCAAACAATGCACAGAATTGTTCATGAACCACTTTTTTATAACGTGTTCCACGGGCGAGCGCCGCACACGGGCGAGCGCCGCACCCCACCAAACTTACACACCTCTCCCATCTTATCGTACAATGGCTCAACGCAGCGCTACTCTATTAGCTTCGAATGAATCAGATATTCAGCTTGCTATCTCCTCAATCAACTCTAAGCAGATTCTAAGTAATCGGAGTGCTGCTGCTATCTACAGCGTGTCTGAACGAACGATCCGCCGCCGACGCGCTGGTGTCCCTGCGCGACGCGATTGCCAGCCCAATTCAAAGAAGCTAACCCAGCTAGAAGAGGAGGTGATTGTTAGCTATATACTCGATCTAGATCAGCGTGGATTCGCGCCTACGTACGCAGCCGTGCGCGATATGGCTGATAAGCTGCTGGCTACGCGCAGTGGAGGACGCGTTGGAGTCAACTGGCCGTCTACCTTTGTTAAGCGTATAGATAGTCTTACGACGCGTTTCAACCGAGCGTACGATAGGCAGAGAGCTCTATGTGAAGATCCAGTCCTAATTAAGAGCTGGTTTGAGCTTATAGAGCAGACAAAAGCTAAGTACGGTATCTGTAACGAGGACGTCTACAACTTTGACGAAGCTGGCTTTATGATGGGCAAGATTACAACTTAGCTTGTTATTACAGCGTCAGAGAGAAGAATACGGCCAAAATCTATTCAGCTAGGTGGTCGTGAGTGGGTAACATTTATCGCTGGGATTAACGCGGCTGGCTGGGCTATCCCACCGTTTCTTATCTTTACTGGTAAGCACCACCTATCTGCCTGGTACGAGGAGGCAGAGGTCCCGCGCGACTGGGTGATCGTAGTTAGCGACAATGGCTGGACGAATAATGAGCTAGGCGTTGCATGGATAAAGCACTTTGACGCTCATACGAAGACTCGCGTTGTTGGTACACGTCGTCTACTTATCCTTGACGGTCATGAGAGCTACCAGTCTCTTGAGTTCCAAGAGTTCTGTCAGAAGAACAATATCTACACTCTCTGTATGCCACCTCATTCGTCTCATCTACTCCAGCCTCTTGACGTTGGCTGCTTCTCGCCATTAAAGCGCGCGTACAGCCGCGAGGTAGAGAGCCTAATCCGCCATCACATCAACCACATTACCAAGCTTGAGTTTCTACCAACGTTTAAGATAGCCTTTGATCGATCCTTCACGCCAGCCAATATCTGCTTAGCTTTTTAAGGCGCAGGCCTTGTCCCTCTCCATCCAGACGCTGTTCTATCAAAGCTTGATGTGCAGCTACGTACGCCTAGTCCTCCAGCTACTCTTATAGAGGCTCTCTGGCAGGCTCGTACACCAAGTAACGTACGTGAGCTAGAGGCTCAATCAACGTTAATAAGCGAGCGCGTTCGAAAGCACCAGAGCTCATCACCAGCTTCAATTATTGCGGCGATTAATCAGCTTAAGAAGGGGGCTGAGGTAATGATGCTCTCAGCTGAGCTAATGCGCGATCGAATTGCCAGCCTTGAGAGAGCTAATACAGCAGTGTCAGAGCGTAGAAAACGTAAGAAAAAGCGGATACAGAAGCGTGGAGTCCTTACAAAGGGAGCTGGCGAGGATCTACTCGCTCAGCGTGAGGCTAATCAGCAGATTGCTCATAAAGAGCGTCAAGGAGGAGAGCGATTAGGTGTTAGCCGCCAGGCTCTTGCGCGCTGTAGTAGGTGTAGGGAGACTGGTCACAATGCACGTACATGCAAGAAAGATACTTTAGATAGTACTTAATCTACTATCTTAATATATAATAGAATAATTAATTCATGGTGGAGCTACGCGCTTGTAGAGGTGTATAAGTTTGGTGGGGTGCGGCGCTCGCCCGTGTGCGGCGCTCGCCCGTGGAACACGTTAGTGAATTTTAGAGTTTTGGATCACTATAGGGTTTCAACTACAATGTCTACTTAAAAAAATCCTACTGCTAAATTTAAATTGTTGAATGAGCCGTTCAATATCGAGTGTCTGGTTATTTTTCGGAGTATAACGTGGTTCATTGGCTGGACGTGTTCCTGCACTGACCATATTCGTTGGATGAACCATAACTATCGCCTGGTCATAGTCATTGTTCATCACCTAACCACTTACAATACCATTCTCAATTTCCCATTCTTGCTTCACCGCAATGCCATCGAATGTATATCTGCTTTACATAGTCCTTCAGATCATACGGAAACGCGGGGCGCATACCACTGTTTGCTATCTATCAAGCAATGCTGACGTGGTTTTAGTTATCAAAGTGTATTTGTGTCCTTGGGGTACTTAAGAGTATTACTGTTAATTGGTCTTATTGAGATCAAGACTATCTATTTATGTTTGCTCTGTGCCTTCTCATGCATCTAGTGCTGATCACCCTTGTCTGTTTCAGAGGCACATAGCAATCCGTGGGTTGGCTACGACATGTTGTATACTAGAAATTTATCGTCTATGGAATTAAATGGCAGAAAGGCAAAAACAACAAGGGGTCATCCAGGTCCTTTCTGGAAAATCCGCCCTGCCCTACCAGACAGAATTTCACTGAAATCTTCACTTGTACCGTGTTGCAGCAATGTGTTCATAGCCCTTACCAAGCCATCTTACAGTTTTTAGCAGAGTACAAAGATCGTTATTAGATGCTACTGTTGCACAGGATACAACGATCATCCCAAAAAGATCTAGTTTCGTCTGTATAACGATATTATTATGATGAAATTTACTAGATGTATACAGCTGTTGGCACCTCGTCACCGTCAGAACACGCAAAACTAACTCCTCCTTCTCTCCTCATTCAGCCGTAAAACTGAACGTCACTATATCTAGATGTCACAGTCCCTCTCAGAAAGCGAAATGTAGTCCAGTGGGACCACTGGGGTGTCCTTATTGTAGTCGACGTTGTAGAGGAAGCAGTCACTGCCGCTGACGAGGATGACAAACTTGCATTGGGACTGGGATCGACAGATCGCAAGGCAAGCAGCGTCATTGTATGCGGTTTGGACGGCATAGGCTGAGGATCCGTCTTGACCGGTAGCATAGCCGCGTTGACGGCACACGAGAGGCTGAGGAGTGGGTGTAGGAGTGGGTTCAGGAGTCGGCTCCGGTGTTGGCTCAGGAGTAGGTTCAGGAGTCGGCTCAGGAGTAGGTGTGACAACCGGCTCTACGCAAGGCCTGTCATACAGCGCAGCTCTAGGGTTGTTGGTAAATTGAGTAACCTCAGACAACGGAATGGTGAAGATGTAGCAGACGTTAGTCGAGTACAAGAAGAAGAACTGGCAACTGGGATTTTGGAGACAGGACTGAGAACACGCAGCAAGGCTGGATCCAGGAGTCGTAGTCTGCAGACCCCTGGGTGACGTTGGGTACTTCTGAGCTCCACAGTTTCCAGAAGGAGGCTGAGGAGTCGGCTCAGGAGTTGGCTCAGGAGTCGGTTCGGGAGTTGGCTCAGGAGTCGGTTCGGGAGAGGGTTCAGGAGTTGGCTCGGGAGAAGGCTCAGGTGAAGGCTCAGGAGTCGGTTCAGGCGATGGCTCGGGAGTCGGTTCGGGGGAGGGTTCGGGAGAAGGCTCAGGAGAAGGCTCTGGTGAAGGCTCAGGTGAAGGCTCGGGAGTTGGCTCAGGTGAAGGCTCGGGAGAAGGCTCAGGTGAAGGCTCGGGAGTTGGCTCAGGTGAAGGCTCGGGAGTTGGCTCAGGTGAAGGCTCGGGAGAAGGCTCGGGAGAAGGCTCAGGTGAAGGCTCGGGAGAAGGCTCGGGAGAAGGCTCAGGTGAAGGCTCAGGTGAAGGCTCGGGAGAAGGCTCAGGAGTCGGTTCAGGCGAGGGTTCAGGAGTTGGCTCTGGTGAAGGCTCAGGAGTAGGCTGATGCGAATATACTACAACAGATGACGAAGTAGTGCAAGGCGGCTCTGCACCGGAGCATTTTCCATACACTGGGTTGCATCCTCTGCCACAGTAGTTGCGATTGCCACCGCAGTAACCACGTTGGCTAGCTTCATGTTAGCTCTACAGACTTTTCATCTGTTGTTCCGGAACTTACTCGCAGCAGTCTCCGAACTTGGAGCCCAGGCACGTAGCACCGTTGGTAGCGCAACGGCCGTCTTCCGAAATTTTCGGATACGTGGAAGATCCTGATGCAGGGTACGTAGCTCCCTGGACGGCCTGTACAGTGGCCAAGGCCGCCAACAGCAAAGTATTGATGCTCGGCATTTTAACCGGTTATTATAGATGGTAAAGACAGTGGATGTACGTATAGAGACACAGAACTCAAGAGAATGTGGGGCCTGTTACAACAAGGACTTGTGAACAGTAACGAGCATGTTGAACAGAGGGTGATCCTCTTTTTATCATAGAAACCCATCACGCGCAAAACATACACGGAGGCTTACCTCTGACTCGACTCAAAGACAACAATCGACCGTGTGCGGCTTCTGGCCCAATATCGGTCGTGCTAGGCTTGGGTCTCCAACGACATCAGGCGACGAATAGACAGCCACCGTTAGTAGCTTCAGCGTCGAGACCTATGTTTTGTCGAGCTAGAGCGAAAGCAGCGCGATCTAAGAAATGTGGAAATGGAAGAGGCGTAAATTGCTAGTCCGAAGATTCGGCCGTTCGCGGCGTTGAGCCTCAAGCGAACCTAGTATTGTACCCCCTATACGCGCCAAGCTGGGTGGCCTCATTCCCTTGAGGCTGATCTTGATTCTTTTTTTGCAATTCGCTTATCTTTACAAGTCAGGTACACACTTAGGGCTATGCAAGTGCGAACGCCCCAGATTTTCCTCGGGGATGCCGGCGGTAAATTGGGTGCTCGTGATACGCTAGCCTGATAAGAGACTAGTATGAATGGATCGGTTAGCAGAGAGAACGTAATAAGAAGCCAGAGTCGCAATTGTGGGTCCGGTAACGATCCTGAGCCTTTTTGCAAAATGTCTTCGAAGTTGAAGTTACCAGAAGGCGATCCAGTTGTGCCGTATGTGTCCTGTTACGTCGGTATCACTACCTGGGAGCTTCCCAGTGGGCTTAATGACTAGTCATGCTACGCTCGATGTAGCTCTGTTCAGAGGGAAGTACGATCCGAAGGATGTATCCTACCAGGCCTCAGACGATTGAAAGAACTCCCAGAAACGATTGCTAAGAGGTTATGGAGGTCGTGACAAAGTGACCAGTACAACTCATTGAACATCTTCTGGGCATTTGCATGAATCGGGTGACCATGTAGAGAAGTGTCAAGGATGAATAATGCAGAAAACAATATATATACATCGCAATGATGATCTAAAGGCGGCCACATCTTCCAGCTGAACTTAATGCGAATAAAAAACTTCTGGCCATCTACCATCCGTCATTACTCACTCCCCAAGTTATGTACAATGTCATGCGGAAAGCCAAACCAGATCTGTCAAAATTCAGTTTCTCATGCTTGTGCCGTGCAACTGCCGTCGTTGATATCTCCAAATACAGCGATGGAGCTGATGTCGAAAACCTCGTCCTGGAAGTTGATCAATGTGAGAGAGACATTCGTGATAGAGGCCATTCCAGATGTATTGACAGGCCCAAACACAACTGTTTGACCCTGATGGTTCGCAGCAGTTGCAGGGGCATCTGGCAATTCCGTGCAATTATTGCCGTCGTTGATATCGCCGAAAATGCTAATCGAAGAGATGTCGAAGATTTCGTCTTGAGCATTGACGAGCGTGAGAGCTACGTTGGACAATGGGACTTGGGGCAGAGTAAAGGGGCCAAAGAGCGTTCCCAAGCCAAGCAGGCGCGCTTCGATAGGTTTGACCAGCGGCGAAGGAATGGCGCTGGTCGCACTACTGTAGAGTAGTGGAAGGATCATGGTGAGAGACTTAGTGAACATAATGAAAGATGTTGGACAAGATAGAGTATGGTGTGTCAAGTGTCTTGGGATAGAAAGAAGTCTGTACGATATTGAGAGAACTGCTTGATGCAGGTTTGTAGGTCCTTTTCACAGTCTTTATAATTCTCTATATTCAACAGAACCATTTCTACTACAATTCACGGGCCGATATATCTTGCGTTCAAATGAGACGAAATCGAGATTTCTCACTGCCATCGGCGCACTGTTCTAGAGCCAAGAGTGGTATGGTCTATCGGCAGCCCATTGCTAATGATACTATACCACCTTTGCTAATCTATGTTGTTCGAGAACTCTGTGAATCGCACGCCAAGATCTGATCTGGTCATGTGTTATCATGGGTAACGATTACATACAGATGGCATCGTATCTGGTGAATGGCACGAGGCTGAGTCGGTATAGTTTGGCCGATATTATATGATATTCGGTTCGGACCGCACATATTGTGCCTCTCGGTAACTACCAAATTATACCAAGTGCTCACTAAGACCCCGGCAATAAGAAGAAAAACACTCGCTTCTCCTTCTCGAACAGATACGTATAAGGCCGCTCGCATCGAGCTTGACAGCAACCAAGAATTTTTGGAAACTTTGAAACAGGCACTCACATCAATTCGGAGTGAAATTCTGTAGATAGCTAGATGAATTGGTCAGTGTACTTTGAGTTCAGACTTGTGCTAACACACAAGGGCATGTCACCAAAGTGCTTCAGTGACCTTGACCAAACCACTCGGTCGGGAAATAAAACCATCAACTGGCGCATCCAAGTAAGAGGTCACCGTGGTTTCATTACCAAACTCAAACTGTATTCAATATTGAATGCACATACTTTCTCAAAGAAACTACATCCTTATCACTAGGAAACGCTAACCGGTCCCTCTGACCAGCATACCTAGAGCAGCCACACCGAAAACTATCGGATTATCGGTCTCAATTCGGACATAAAAAGATTCCGGTCTGCATAGCCACTGGATCTGCGAAAAAGTAGTATCGACAACGGCCGCAAAGCGAATCTGCCTTTGTCAGCACTAGAATCTGCACTGCCGCTATCAAACGACCACAGCAAGCACTACGTAATCAGCCTAAATACAACTAACTCCTTGGTGCCGCCTAGATACTAGACGCCGATTCATCCCTAGATCAAACCCATGTCCTGACTACAACGGCGAATCAGTATGAAGAAGGTGCTACGACCGCCAAGACCAAGACCCCAGACTTCCCCAAGATACGCCAACTCGGAGCGCACAGCCAAACAGTAAGCTATTCCTCCGAGCCTAATCAAAAACAAAAAAGTAGTATATCTGTGTCTCAGACAAACAAATCTGTACCACCCAGCCTCCCCAAGAAAGAATGGCGCCTAGAACTCAAGATCACAGGGTTCATCCAGTAGTACGGATCGGGACTACATATCTAGATTAAGTGAACCCGAGCTAACGAAGTCCTACCTACCACAATCCCCCCGAGTCCAATATCAAGGGCCGATATTAGTAGCAACGGACTACCCTACGATTTAGTTATATACATACGTACCACATCCCCTGGATCCATACCCCCTCAAATTGCGCAACCACGAGGGCCAAGAATAAGACACGCCGAAATACACACACACCCCACGCTAATATCCGAATCAAGTAGGTCCTCAGGCTTGTCACCGTCTTGGTGCTGTCCTGTTCGCAGCACGCAACCCTTCCGCACGAGAGACAAGTAGAACAAACTAAACACGGATGAATAGACTTGGAAGACGATGAAAAAAAGGGCAGATGGGAAGTTTTTTTCTCCATTGAGCACGCGACTTGTCATGGGTACTTAGACACTTGCTAGTCTAGCGTAAAGTTTGACCCCCACGAAAGTACCTCATGTACCTCATTCATATTTCGGTAGAATAAAATACTATAACAAAATCAGCCTAACTAAATAAACCAGCATGATATCAATCAAACAACTATTACACGACAGCGCTACAATATCCACCTCATCATCTTCACAACAACTAAATCCCCCTCCAAGCCCTACCCCACACACCCTTATATCCCCATCCCAACCAACCTCCACAAAAACAAAAACAAAAGAAACAAAAAAAATTTGCTATTCCGGTACCGGGAGTCGAACCCGGCTCTCGTCGGGCGCTCTTCACCAAGCGATGAAAGCGACGGATGCTAGCCGATCTGAATTCTTATTAGTCTCTTTGTTGCAGTGCAAGGGGATTGCAAGGTAGAACTTACACACCATACCGGAGAAGGTACTTGATGGAACGTGGCAAAAATTTAAAAAATATATTCTTGAAATTCAGTTGGGTGTGAAGGTGCGGGTGGTGGGGAGCGGGAAGGATCGATAGGGCCCCGCTTTGCGAAAGATCCGGTTGAGCCAAGTGCGAGGCTAGAGGATGGCGAGGGAGCGGAGGATTTTGGGGGAGGGGTGGATGTTACGTAATGCACTGGATGACTTGGGTTCCGTGTTTGCAGTTCACCGTGTTGCGCTTGAGTTGGTACAATGCAAATCTCCCATCATATTGTTCTATTTATGATTCCTTAGGCACAAGCTGCACCTCACGAATATCACCCTATGCACCCACTTTCATATGTAGGAAAAAAACCCCGCATTCCGCTTTCATCCATAATAAAAGGCACCGATTGGATACATGCATGGCAGTAGAAAAGAAAAGAGCAAGGTTTCTTGAACATATAAACACCGATGTTGACTCACTAAAATAATCATACACATCATTACAATACTCTGTATCGAGTCCATCATAAAATGACACCCATGCTGAGAGGGTATGGCAAAATATCTTCCTCACGACGAATAGTGCCATGTTTCTGCGCCATGGACCTTTGAGTCGGGCTGCGATGGCTCCGGCGCAGGCTTCTCTTGATCTGGTGAAGCTGCATTATCAGCCTTGCCATCAGCCTTCCCATCATCGCTGATGGGGCTGGGCGTCGGTCGCAGCGGCTCTTGTTGTGTCGGAGACAACTTTTTACTTTCAGATTCTTCTTTGCTCGCAGGTAAATCTTGAGAAAGGCTCGAGCGTGGACCTGAAGGTGGATAGCGCGACTGTGGCTCTTGTGGTGAAGGCGCAGTCACCGAGGGCTCGCTTAATGAGCCCGTTGCTGTAGCCAGCTGTTTAAGCATTTGTTCCCACTTTGGCGCTTCTGTCGTCTGCGTTGTCCGCGCCATTTCGCGCTGGAAAGCATCAGACGATTGAAACTGTGCTGATGGCTTTGGTACAGATGAACCTGTAGGCGGTGGTCCGTAGTACCCCTGGGGAGGTGTAGACCCAGTTGATGCTGCGGGTTTCGGTGCAATTGTAGTAGGCGTACCACTCGCCCTTGACATCGGAGGCTTTGGCATCCACTCAGGGGCGATCCCATGATCCAGACTATAGGGTGATATGTAAGTTTTTGTCCTCCGTAGATAACAATTTCTGAGGTAGGGGTAATTCATAACATAGGACAAGTATTCAGTGGGGGATTGAGCAGCGTAAATGATGTTAGAGGAGGGTGTGACGGCGTACATTGGAGGTTTGTGAGGCCCAGAAGGGTTGCTCGGCATGCTTGAGATCGGTGAGCGACCATTCGATGGCCCTTGAGCCTGACGGCCAGGTGGACCATAAGCCCGCGCTGCACTTGGTACTTGACCATGTGAGTACGACGATTGACGAATGTTCTGAGCATATGGGTATGGTGGCAAGACATTAGCATGTGGCGGCGCTTGCGCATACTTTTCAACGCCGCTGAGCACTGGCCCAGATGTTGCTGGTTGTGCCTTCCATGAAGCAGTTGAGTAGCTTTGTGGAGGAACATATGGGTGATACTGCAGTTGTTGCTGAGAGGCATGCAGCGGTCGATGCGAGAGATAGCCCTGGTTTGACTGTTGGCCGTACTGCCCGTGTGGCATGCGATGATCATAACTCACGTTTGGTTGATGTGCAACGGGCGAATTAGGGTTCTTGCGAGTGTCCGGATTATATACTGGTGATCTGAAAGGCGCCACGACTGGGTCTTTTGGCTTGTAACTGTACGGCCGCCCATTCGGCATATATTGCTGCACAGGAGGTACAGCAATAGGTGCTGGTTTGAGCGGATAGGAAGCCGGGTAAGAAGCACGATGGAATGCTGGTACTGGAGGAGGTGGAGGTTTGACAGTATCGAGGAAGTTGCTCTTTGGGTTGTTCCTCGGCTTTGCAGGGTTCTCAGTGTACTGTGGCCTGGCCTCAGTTGACAACTTTCCAAGATAGTACCACAACTGGTCTTCTTTGCTAAGGTCGACCTTGGCCAACTTCTGCGTAACCTCAGGAGCAGTGTACCATTCAGCCCATTTCTGTTCAGAGTTAGGGTCATGGAAAGGATCACCCATCTCAGGTACACCATCTGTACGATTGGTGATGTCGAGAGACGCATCGCTTTCCTTTAGATGCTCTGGTAGTGGCTTAGCGTTCGCAGATGGCTTCAACCTCTGAGATTCATCTGGATGAAGCTTCAAGATATACTTCCATTCAACCTCGACACGATCACTATACAGGTTAGCATAGCAGTGTAAGTGGAATCCACTTTACATACCCGTCAGGCAGCACGTCTACCAAAACAGCCTGCTCACCAGGCCTGTTCTCTACGACCTGTGCACCGTAGATTTGGTACATCTCACCACCCACATACTGGAACTGGATAACGTCCTTGGGTTTGAGGGTCTTGCCGTATGACATGACATATTTGTCCTTCTCAAGTGCTTCAACGTCGACCGTCTTGTTGTTCCTCTTTTTCGGTCGATGGAAGCGGCATCGGAAGTCGTAGCCATCGTAAAAGTACTCTGTACCCTCTTCGTCAAATGTAGGCATCGGTCCAAGGTCTACCTGTACTCCAGCTGCTACAGCACAGGTGGCGTGGAAAGCCCTGGTGCACTTTTTCTGGGAGCACTGGAAGACAGCACCGCGCTTCGACCGACAGTAGTTGCACTTGAGTTCGAGACGATCCTTGCCAATGTTGGTCACATTGCACACTATTTCAACGTCGTTCTTTTTGACAATGTACGTTTCAGGCGTGTAATCAGCACAGATGCGATGGGCCTTCATACCATTATCGGTTTGCAGCAGATCATCATACTCGACATCGTTGGGACAGAGGATACAAGGCATGCCACGACCAGGGATCCGGATGCGAATGCGGATGCGTTTGAGCTTCTTCGATCGTGACGAATCCTTGGAATCCTCCTTCCCTCGCTTCCGTTTGTTGCCAGTAGATTTGCGGCTAGCTTTGGCTTTGGTCTTTCCAGCAACGCTAACAGGAGGACTGGGCAGACGATCAGCGCCATCATCCTCATCCTCTTCATCATCCGTCTCTTCATAGTACTCTGGCGTTGGTTCACCTCTCAGCTTGCGCTCAATCTCATTGACATCAACCCAAACACTGTCAGACTCGCACATGCATTTCTTTGCAATCCTACCGTAGCTCAGCCACGACTCGTTTGCAAAGTTGACTGACTCTGCGCAATTGTAGCCAATGTTGTAGCCGGAATGGTAGCCATAGGGGTAAGTGATGACGAATTCGCCTTCGTAATGAACCAGTCGGTTGACCTTGATATTGAAGTCTCGCTCTAGGCGCTGTGGAGAGATCAAATAAGTCTTGTGACGAAGGAACTGCGAGCAATGCTTCGCATCATTCGGCCATATAGTCTGCATTGCAGCTTCAAAGCGACGGGCGTCCTCTTGGGATATGCTGTACCACTGCTTGGGGGCACCAAAGTGAATATAGTTGATACTGTAGAGATCCACATCCTCCAAATGCCAGGCAAATGTCGCTTTCCACATGCCTAGATACAGGTAGGCGGTATTGACACCAGGGACTTTGGTTCCAAGCACGTCGAGAAGGTTAGGTAGTTTTGCTACATTCCAGGACGTTGTGCTATCATCGAAAAGAGAACCTGGCATGTCTGCGCCGTACATTGGTTGTCCGTAGTTGATAGTCTTCCAGTAGTTATCCTCGAGCTCCTTGCAACGTTCAACGGTGTACTCCTCGAGACCGGGCAGGCGGTAGTCAAAGTTTTCAAAAGCAGCCTCGTCAACATGGTCGGCAATGGCACCCCTGTTGTTCAGTCGTCGAGACGAAACAGACTTCTTCTCGTCAGCCGCCTTGGGCTGTCGACCACGTGCTCTGGTGGGTGTCGCGGCCTGGGGTTCCTTCTTGACTCTTCTTGAAGACCTCTTCTCCTCTTTTCCAGGCGACGTCGGTGTAGGAGGAACATCCATGGGCTTTTCGTCGTCGTCATCATCAACCGGCTCTTTCTTCACCTGACGCCTCCGGGTGGGGCGACCAGGTCCACGCCTGGGTGTTGGTGAGGCATCGTCGTTCCTTGAAGGTGCGACTTGAGCTCTCGTGGAGCGTGTTCGAGAGGGAACCTCTGGGGCAGCTTTCCGTCGCTCACCTCGCTTGGCCGGCGGCTGATGATGCGGCTCATCCGTCACTGCCCTCCACTCCGGTAGGTTGTATGATCGTTGTTTCTCAATGTTCGCTTGTGTATATATGCCATGCTGCCCGTTGAACTCTTGCGTAATTGGATTCTTGACTTTGATGCTCTTGACAGCTTCGGTAAGGTCAGGGAGGGATTCGCGCCTACCGTTCTATTAGTTACAAAACAATGATTGGTTACAGTCGCGTTGACATACCATTCTGTCGGCGGAATGACCTTGATTATGCCGGACTTCATGCCGTATTTGTCAACCTTATCGATGAAGCGCTTAAAGTTACGAAACTGGTCCATTGTCTGTAGAGGGTAAAGTCAGTACCATGGAAACTGCGTTCGTGTTCGTCATATCTGTAGTGACGTTGCGCGCGTCGCCATTGCTTTCTGGAGCAGCTCATGTGCATCTTTGCGACGTACCGGCTTGAACACGGGTATCTTTCCCCCTTCAAAGTAGTGATCGGGCTCGATGTCTTCGCCGTCGTCGCTATCAATGTCTGAAAGTTCCGACGACATATCCTCAAAACGCTTGTCATTGTCTTCGCTCGTGGGCGGCGTCAGAGCCGGTTTGTTGGTGGCGTCATCCTGCGGGACAGGTGGTGCCTCGACCGAAGGCACGACGTCTTGCGACGCCTCCATGGTAAAGGCAATCGTTGTACAAGAGAGTTTTGTTGTACAGAGGGAGGAGGTCGTTGGCGACTGATGATTAGGGTTGCGGAGACGATGTGGTCAACATGGGTCGCTTTTCCGCCACGGAGGGCGCGCGTGGATATATTAGCCCCGAAACAATTTTGCCGGAAGTGCAGAAGGTACCCTGGGCTTCTGGTGTTGTAAGATGGCGAAATCGTAAGTTGTAGGGGCAGGTAGACGGTTGAGAACACTAGGAGGCTAGGTGTGCAAGAATGAGGAGGTTGCAGGCTCACGGTCTGTGCGCGTACCCAGCTAGTAATTAGCGTGCATAGACCCCGGCTTGTCGACTGATGATCGAGCCACTCTTACCACCCAGGCGAAGGCGTGGGATGCAGCCGCTATCGCTCTCTCTATGCGTCACAGAGCTGAAGAAAGGTGAGAAAGGGTTGGCTCTTTGCTGCTGGGAATAGAGAGGTTCCTGAGCGGAGTAATGCGCGAGATGTAGATCATGTGCGACTCCAAGCGGCATGCACGTCATCCAAGGTCACATATGTAAATCTGATCTGATAAGATTGCAGCCTTGCCAGAGACCAGGGTTCCCTCTCCAGAAATCCGTGGTTAGATGCAGGCATTGCGACGATTAAGTCTAACACATTATTCAAGCGTCAGTTGCGCATCATGCGCATTGCAGCAATTGGCTTTATAGTCAAACTCTTCGTCTTGTACGCATAGCACACATACTACACATGAAATAGTGTGCCTGGATTTAGGGGTTAAGCTTTTCTGACTGGCGCCCATCTCAACGGTTGCAAAACCCACTAGTTCGCCCGTCAGAGCACTACAAGGCTACACCCCGCCAGTATGCGGAACAGGCTCGTACTCGGCAAAAGGTCTTTGCTAAAGGCGTGTGCTTTTCCCCTATCCGTATATGTGCATGCGTCAATAGTCGCATGAACCGTACGTCAGTGTTGGTGGACTGCTCAGTGGCACCACGATGACCAGGATAAACTCATCACACCACAGCATGGACAACTTGAGGCAGTGATTTGCATCTCTTTAGATAGAAGCAAGATATCCAATCGAGCTCAGCTACATTTTGGGACCATCACAAGCTATTGCAGCCTCCAGTGACGCAGTGCTGGTTTTGTTTAGTACTCGGGTCGAGCTCACCACCAACAGACCTCTACATTACAGTGCCTTTTTAAGGAAGAACCCCAAAGCAAAAACGAAGTGTATTGTCACTTGGGTAGGCTGCATTGACTCTACCTTGGTCTCCTCCACGTGGGGTGTGACAAGGACAATAGTCTTTAGTCATGGCAGGGTGCGTGCTGCCAACTCCACACCGACTCGTCGTACTCGCATTCGCCAATCGGAGTCGTTGAACAGCCAGCACATCCCCCCATGCATCTTCCCCGGATCGACACGCCGCTACTGCCAGGGGCAAGCCGAGCCGTCATCGTCATCGTTTGCCCATGCTTCAATGCCAAGTCACAAACTCCTCTTGCCCCTCTCATAATAGACGCAAAAGCACCTCGCACACACACAAGTCAACCAAAATTAAGACAATCGTACAAGTCATATTTTTTGAGCGCCAGATCATCCCCAGAATATAGTACAGTGTCCCATACCCGAAGAAATAGAGATCCTATGCACCGATGCTATGCTACCAAATCCACTAGGTCGTACATTACGCCTATCAGCTCTTCATAACTCATTCTGCCTAGACACTCCATGCAAGAGCATCCAAACCCTTCGTGCAAGCAACTTTTTTCTTCTGCGTGTACGAGCCTTTTCACAGGAATGCTATACTCCTGCTTTACGATGATTCACCTCGGGGACCGCCACGGAAACCGCCACGTCCTCCTCTGAACTCTCCACGGCCACGGCCACGCCCACCACGGAATTCACCGCGGGGTCCGCCTCGGCCCCTACCCCTGTATCCGCCGCGATCACCGCCACCGTGACCTCCTCGTCCCCGGCCGCCACGGCTGTGATGGACTTCAGAAAAGCCGTCGTTAGCAGCCGCAGGACCCGTGGGCGCCGAGCCTTGCTCAGGAGTGTCGTCAGCCCAGCTCTGGGTGCTGTTGGGGGCAGCAGCAGCGTGTGGTGTCTCGGTTTCGGCAGGGTCTCGCGGGACTATCTCGAAAGATTCGGTCAGAGGGTCGTCGCTTCCAGTCTGCTGCTTGTCCCATTGAGCTTGAGCTGCAGCGTTCGCCGAGTCTGTTCCAACGTTGGCTGCTGCCGGTACCTCTGAAGGCTCTGCCGCAGCTTCAGTAACAGGCTTTGCGCCAGCCTCAATCTCGGTAAGTCCGGCGTTGGCGATGGTTGGGTCGGACACGGCCTCAGGAGGGGCAGCTTGGTGTTGCGCAACATCATCTACCCAAGCTTCTTCCGCAGCGAAGGGAGCTTCCTCAAGCGCGGCTTGCTTCACCTGAGAATCTATACACAGTCAGCTTAATTTGCTCTCGCACAGGATTCTCCATAACCTACAAGTGATGCCCAGCACAACGCCCTCAGTTGATGGTACGCCGTCGCTCGCACCGTCAATCAGCTTCTCAGCTGCCATGACAGCAGCGGCATCTCCTCCGTAAACCTGGAGAAGAGCGCCCTCAAAAGCCTTTGTGAGATCCGAATCGTCGTCCTCTAATTGGCGACGTGCGGCAGCAGCTCTCAAGAAGCGGGACAGGGTCAGGAGCTTCTCCTTGACAATCCTCTGTTGCTCCAACTTGGCCTCAGCCTTGATAGTCTCCCTCAATGTCTCGAGTTCGCTAGAGTGTGTCTTGGAGAGAAGCTCCTTCTCCTTGGCGAACTTGGCCTCGAGCTCATCACCGTACTTCTTATAGTTGGTGTATTGTTCCTCATACTGTGCGAGCTGAGCCTGAAGGCCTGGTTTCCTCTCAGCCTGGGCCTTCTGGTCGGCGTTGATCTTGCGAGAGGCGAGGAGCTCATCGAGGGAGATGCCGGGGTTGGCTGCGATTATTGAGTCGACCTTTTGAGTTGCGCTCTATACATGCGACGTCAGCAAGGGCTAGTGTGAGGGGTAAAGGGGCATGCTGATCTTACCAGCTTCTTGTTAATGTTGCGGATGTTTCTATGCGCCCGGTTGTTAGCAGGCGGCTTCTTTGCGAATGGGGAGTCTGGCTGTGATGTGGAGAGTTGCAACTTACTTCTGGACCTCGCGGAGGTACGAGTTGTCGCTGTCTGCGCCATTGGCCTTGCCTGCAGCCTCGGAGCCACCTGCGCCGGCTTCAGACGCTGTCTTTTCGGGTGCAGCTGGCACTGCAGTAGCTCCTTCCTGCTTGCCCTTCTTCTTGCGAGCACTCTTGGACTCCCCTGTTACCAGGTTCTGTAGCTTATTGACTACCTCCGAGGCCATTGCAGTGTTCAATTCTGCAGATTCCGATGATTTGAATGACTTCTACACGTGAGTCGCGTATTTGAATTTGAAGATGAATTCGAGCTTGTATGTCGTGTGAGTTTGAAGTGGATGGTTTGGGCACATGGTCGCCCGCCCTCAACGTAACAGCGAAATTAGCGTGGGCACTAGCGCCCTCGTGGGCATGACGCACCCCCCCTCAGGCTCTGAACATATGCAGTAAGCAAACACCCGCCCGAGGTCATAGTTGCTGCCTGCATATACAGAGAAGCTCCTCATCAGTCACGTCTATGTCTGAAATGCTTGAAAACTCCCTGGCCCCATGTACTTCGACGGATCACATATACTCGCTATGCGAAGAGCAGTCAATGCTAGTCGAATGCTGAATCTTGTTTGGCAAAGGAGAAGCAAGAGGTGAGATTATATAGACAGAGTTGCATGGGAATACCATTCAACTCACAATAAAGTATATGACGCTCACTGGGGTATCACACCGTCCGATCCTACAGCAACTCCATGAAATCCTATGTGAAATCGTAAACCACAAGTGCTTGACTGCCTTCACTCTTCTCTCGTAACACGACAACATTTTGCTCATCAAATCCGACCCATCCTCGACTGACCGACGAGTCATCAAAGCCTCGGTCAAGTGCAAAACGTAGCCCACTCTCCCCTCCGGAAGCACCGTTTTGACTGTCTGCTTCGCCAACTTTCCACGGCTGTATGCGCACACTCAACTCCCCGTTCCTTGAGCGTTTTCGGTTCGCAGAAGAGTTCATGCCGCCTTCTAAATCCCAGACGCGGAGTTCATCTCCAATTCTGCTGACTGATACGGCCTTACCGCGCATTCCGACGTGGGCGCCAGAAATTGAAGATGTATGGCCCCAAAGCCGGTTTCCAGAACTGATTGAGAGCGCCGAAGATGTTGATCGAACCAAGTACAACGATAAAGTATTATCCGGGTGCGCCACAAGGAGGTAAGGATGCGAATACGACATCGAAGTCGGCCTCGATCCGCTAGGTCCATTAGGGACAGATGTATCCCTTGCATTGTCTAAGGATGAGTGTACTGGACGGGAAGATGGAGAACGATACGCAGATAGTGTAAACGCATGCCCGTCCGCTGCAGTAGCCAGCCTTGACTCTAGAAGCTCCCCCTTGTGAGAAAGTATCAGTTCTTGTACACCGACAGTCCAGCCAGACAGATAGGTTGGAAGAGAGTATGCAATGGCTGCAGTCATGCTTGTCGCATTCATCCTCAGTGAAAGAGAGACGGGTGGCCATGCAGTGTGTGACCGGAGAGAATACAGAAGTTTAGGGGCCTCCAATGCGCCATGCATATTTGGTGTCCCTTCGAAAGCATATAGGGAAAGGAGATGATCTTCAGTCATGGTAAGAAGGTAAGGCGATGAGTACGCCAGTGCCGATAACATCCCATTAGTGGACGGCGGATGAGTAAAGAGGGTTTGGAACCTCTTGCGATCTTTCCTTAGTGCGTATATCGAGAATGAACCATCCTCGAAGCCCATAGCTACCCTCTCATCGTTAACCTCTTTTCCAGAGGCGTCTATAGCCATAGATATAGGTAGTTGAGGTGCATATGCTTCCCCTTGGAGTTCCGTGAATGCCAGTAGCTCGCGATCGTCCTTCGAGCTCCAAGCCCGGAGACCTGATAAGGAATCTGCGGCATAGACGATGCTGTTCGACATCATTACCAGAAGAGGTGGATCTGGCGGGCGTTCGGCGACGACAATCTCACTGACGGCACATTTACCTCTTGTCCAATTATGCCGTAAACGATATTGTTGTTTCCAGTTTGTTTCTTTCCCGTCCTTGACAAGATAGCCATCTTCCAGCCATTTTGACAATCGAGAGGAATAGTGTAGTCGATTAGGATTGCCAGGGTCTTTAATGCCGGGTATGCGAGATGCCCGTGGGAGAACGAATGTGCGGTAGTAGGCTGCCTTCCATAGCTCAGAATCCAAAGACAGGCGATTGAACCGTTTCGATACCCTGCGCGACAGTTAGTTTGGGTTCGATCCCTCAAAAGAGCGTTCTGACCTTTGGCATACTAGGAGTGACGGTACAGGAATAAATGACAGTACACGAACCAGCAGCTCCTCACTCAATCTAGACAGCCGATCGGGGTGCAAGAGCCGTTGCACCTTGGTTGGAGGCTCGTTGTCGTCATCCCCATCATGCGCACGCTTCATAATAGAGAATGTCGAGTCGGCGGCGAAGGCGAGCCTCGGGAGTGATTGTACCGCCGTTATCGTTATCGCGTACTAGTGTCCATGCGGCGAGACACTCGTGATTACGCGTTGGCACTAGCGCGCTTCTTTGGATGTTGCCGCCTAATTCCACTGCACATCCCCAGCCGCGTTCGGACGAGAGTATGTTCAAGTTTACCTGAGTGACCACGAGCCTAATTCATGCAATATTCTTTGTGCGAGAGATGGCGGAATTCACAGTCTGGATAGAGCAGAACAAAGCGCTATGGTCGCGTGTCTACGATGAGGTCATCCAGCCAAGTCTCGAGAAAGAGTGGAACAAGAGTACGTATGATCCTAGTTGCACCAGCAATATCTAATTGCGCCTCAGGGGAAGAGAGCCATCAAAATCAATTGAAAGAGAGTGGGTAATGCCACACTTTCGGCGCAATCATTACTGATGTCAGCAGAGGAAAAGAACCATGAGGCACTGCTCGAACATTTGAACAATGAGATTTCGAAGTCGGCGCGTCTTTCTAATGAGAACGCTCAACTGAGAGACCAAGTCCAGACTAAAAGTACCATCCAAGGCGAGAAAAGAACCATTGCACAAAGTATTTCAATGGAAGAGCACCGCCGCCTAGTCGAAGAAAATGAGCAATTGAAACAGCAACTTACCAGACGCAATGCAGAAGTTGCCTCATCAGTATCAGCTGAGAATAAGGCAACCAAAGACGTCGGGACGACAACCACAGACAATGAAGATCATGACCTTGCCCAAAAGTTCAGCCAACTGAGTAAGAAGTATAGCAGTGCCACTCAGCAGGTGAAGTATCTGCAGAGGAAGAATGCTACAGTCATGCAAAAGAACAAAGATATGAAAGAGAGTGTACGCGCATGGCAAGAGTATGCAGATCGGCAATCGGGGAAGCGGAAACCTAAGTTCCAAAGTCGAGTCGAGGAAGCAAGGCTGCAATCACCTACAAGCCATGTTTCTCCAGAGGATGAACCCAATATCCCTTTAAGTCCTCGGAATTTGGCTACACCCAGGCTATCTCCAACTCTCACTGAACTAGGGCGTTCCTCTCCTGCTGCCATGGCTCCCCGTGCCGCCGAAGGAACTGCGCATCAGTCGACGACGACATTAGATTCGGTTTTGGGCGAACAAGATCTATCAGAGAATGCAGACATCACACCAAGGCCACGGTCTCACATCAATGGTTCGAAACTATCAAAACTCCAACGGATAACTTCAGATCATGATAGCCATCAGCAAGGTCATCCAAGTTCGAGTCAGACAACAGTGGACGAGCACGATGAATCAACGACTCGGCATGAACAGATAATAGGCCTTGAAGATGAAGATGACGACATGCCGGAGTTTATATCAGAGAGATCACTGAAACGCAAACGTGGAGAGCCTACCACTTCTAGGTTCGAGATTTACGCAGACCGTTTATCGGATGGCACACCGGTCAGGCCGTACCGTGTGAAAGAAGAACAATGCAGTAGCCCTCCGGTCTCTGCCTACAAGCTACTTCACCATGAGGCGACAATGGACTTGGATGATCCTGCATCCAACTTGCTTCAGACACCTCGTCATAATCGAAGGCGACTATCAATCCCTGCTGCCAGAGCAGAGACACCTCGCCGGCGAAGATGCAACAGCGCACCGTCAACACAAGAGATCAAATCAGAAAATGGAGTAGCTCAAGTTCTTGTGCAAGATGACCCGATAGGGCTGACCACAGAATCCCTTATGCTTCCAGCGGTCGCCAGCACTGAGACTCGAGCCTTTAGTGAACCCATGGAACCAACCCAAGTGGAGGCCAATATCCTAAAATCCATCGATCCAAATATAGTGAACAGTGTTTCTGAGGAACCACCGAACAAACGCTTACGGAACAAGGCGTCCCGGTATCAACAAAAGCATGAATCTTTGTTGGAGTCTAATGAAGCACCGCCCTTTCTAGATAACGAGCTACGACTACCACCTAACTCAGCCCGAGTGCGGATGAACCAGAAGCTTCGAGATCTGAAAGATCTCCAAACACCCTCCAAGGCACCATCAAAGACCCTACAGACAGGCCCAACCAAGGTCAAGATTGAGCAGTTTTCTGCCCCACAAAGCTCGTCCCGCACCACGCATACTCCCGGTCTTGAGAAGAAATCGTCCAAGTCAGTATCCAAACGTCGTTCGGATTTACGTGAAGATCCGACACCGGATCGCCCAATCTGGACAATGAAGCCGCCAGAGACACGCTCAAGTGCTCGTAAGAAACGTGATACGTCATCTAAAGAACAGGCCCCTCTACGAGAAAAGCCAGTCACAGAACTTAGTATTCAAGATTTCAAGCCAAACCCAGCTTACAATCAGGGCTACAGCTACGCGTTCTCTGAAACTGTTCGCAAGCGTGGAGACCGCATGTGTCTCCCTGGCTGTACAAACCCTCAATGCTGTGGCTCCACTTTCCGGACTTTTGCAGCGGCTCAAGTACCTCTTGATGCATCACAAGAGGAGGCTTTGTTGGAAGATTACCTCGGCGAGGCTTACAGCAAATTGCAGTTGACACAAATGTCATCCGAGGAACGAAAGGAGCTAGTGCTACAAGCACGAACCAGGAAAATGGCGAAGGAATCAGGGAAGCATCGTGAAGCCTACCAGCGACGAAGAACGCCCCCAGGCTTCTGGAGGGTGGATTTTCCAACAACCCAAGAGCGGGAGGAAGACCGGGCGCGTGCGAAAGAACAAGAGAGATTGGAAATACACGAACGGTGGATTGAGGCGAACAGAAGGGGCGGCAAATGGATTTTCAGAGATGAGTAATAGCTTTATTCAGAAGCTCTCCTAGCGAAGGGCGCCATATGTGAACCATGGTTACGATTTTGAACATGAATTTTATGCTCCTGTGCACCATAGTAAACACTCTGCACCAGTAATAAATATTGACACATGGAATAATCTGCTCCTTTTCATATATCAAGTTGACCCTCCATGGCACTTTTACACTCTAAGCTAGATCTTCTTCACATTACACATAACACCACTTCCTCACCACTATACCACTTCCTGGCCATACACACTATACCCAAGCTACACCAAAGCACCACTACATCACCACCAAAGCCATATCAAGGCCATATCAAAGCCACACCAAGAATAGGCCCACATACCTCACAAACATCACAACAACCATGTCTCAACGAATGTACATCCGCGAAGAGTTCCTCTTCGTTTTCATCAATCCCACCACTACCTCACCATACATGACCGCAGAATGCACCATCTGCGGAGAACCTTACTCCTCTTCCCCCGACAAATGCGCAGTAACTTTCTCAGATAAAGAAAGCTGCAATCATGTCTTTTGCCAAACCTGCATCACCAAATGGCTGCGCACCAAAGGGGTCAACTCCTGCCCAATATGCAGGAGGCAGCTCTTCACCCTCGATGACGAGGACTACGATGATTTTGATAATTGGGATGAAGAAGAGGAGGAAAGAGAAGCCGAAGTCTTCTTCACTCACGAGCAAATCATGGAAATGCTCGAAGACATTTGGTACAAGGTGTACTGGATGGTTGATGAGCACCGCCAGTCTGTCGTGAAGGAAGGGAGAGGTGTTTCTGAAGATGAAGAAGAAGAAGAAGTTGAAAGCGAAGACGACGACGACGACGATGAAGACGATGACGATAAAGAAGATGATGAAGATGAATCAGCCACCAAACCCCCCCTCCACACTTCCACCCTCCTACATTCCTTCATGCGCATCCTCGCATCCCGCGAGGACCTCCACGATCTCAACGACGCCACGGGTTTCGCCAGCGGCATGAAAATCAACGTGCTCTCGTGTATTCTCCACCGAATCATGGCCGAGCACATTAAGTATATCGAAAGCACCGGTGGAAAAGAAAAGGTGCTGGAGTTTCCGTGGGAAAAGGCGGCGGAGTGGGCGGCGCCGCTGAGGTGGATTATGCGGCGTATCTAGATTGTTTCCGAATTCTGTTGGTTGGGGGTTTTGGAAAGGGGTTAAGCACAGCGGGTTGAATTCGCTTGATTTTGGGGCCTGGATGTTCCCTGGAGGAGAATTGGACTGCCGGGCTGGACCCGTATGCACCGTATAGCTTGGACGTTCCTTGGACACTTTGTAACACCGGGCTGGATCTCGCTTTGTTACGTAGATTAACTTTTTGATTTCACTCTTTTGAACACATTGCATACGTGATAAGTGGGTTTTTTGCTTCCGCATCTTAGACTTTGATCCGTTGATATTCGCTACATAAGAAAGAGAAAAAGGACAACTGCTTGGGAAATCTGCCAAATAGGTCACACACATACGTATATGGCGGGTATATAGAACTTTGCAAAAAAAAAACGCCTTCAACCCAAGAAAAATAATACAACAAATTGAGCAAAAGTCCTTCCCTCCCAACCTTGAACACCTTGCGTGCTTTTTGCCAGTGCCAGAAAAAGAAAATGGGAAAGAAAAAGGTATGGAAATATATGAACATGGACTCATGAACGGAGACAAGGAAAGGAAGAGAGATGATAGGAAATTGAACAGAGGAAAAAGGAAAAAAGAGAGCCAGTCTAGTAGTGTACACTGCCGTTTTTGGCCACTACACGCGAATGCTTCCCTTGCGGTACTTCTCATCCTTGAGCGGGACAGGCGGGCGTTCATCTTCCGAGTTGCACTGGGAAGGCATAGCCGAGTCCTTGCGCTCATGTCTGGGATCGTACTTTGCACTCGAAAGAGTGCGCTCGGGGATGTACTTTGCGCTCGAAAGCATGTGTTCGGGCGAGTAAGTCGCGCTGGAGAGAGTTGGCTCTTTGGGGCTATATCTTGCGCTTGAGAGGGTAGGCTCGGGCGAGTAGGTGGTGGCGGGCAGGAGCTGGTATATGGTCGAACGGGGTGCGGCAGAAGGGGATGTGTACATGAATTCATCGATTGCGTCGTCGATGTCGCTGAGGAGGTTGTGCTGGTTGGATTGGGAAACTGAGGAGTTGGACTTGCGGTCGAAGGGTTGCTTGGGGTCGAAGGGAAAGGTGAAGGAGATTGGGCGCTCCTCAGGGGTGTAGGAGATTTGCGGTGCGAGGAATGCCGAGGTGGGCTCGTTCGGTGATGGGTGGTAGGGTGTTCGGGGGCTGACAGGCAATGGCGAGAGCATTGCCTGAGAAAGAGGGGTTTCAGGAAGCCTCTCGCGTGGGCTAGCAGGCCCCAGGGATGCTGGTCTGGCTTTTCTTCGGGAGAATCCGCCGTCGTAGGTTGTCGCTGGTAGTAGGTAGGAGTTTTGTTCTGGCGCAGAGGTAGAGACTTCCTTCTCTTCCCGTACGATAATGTAGGAAATGGGTCGTTCGCCTTGCTTGAAGGGGCTTTCTAGCTTAAACAGATTCTCGCCTTGCTTGACTGGGCTCTCGCCTTCTCTGAAAGGACTTTCGGTCTGATCGTTGTTCAATGTCGAAGAAGAGGAGAACCCAGGAGAGAGTATAGGATCGCTCTGACTCCTTGTGTGTGTGAGGTAGCGTGGCGAGGGAACTTGAAGGTGGCTTGGGGAAAGTTGGTAGTCTGGTGGCGGCGCGATGAAGATGTCACCATGACCCATGCGCTCACCCGGGTCTACATTGCGGAGTGCTCGTAGTCTCTGGTTTGCGAAGTCGGCCTCGAGAATGTGTGCCCTCTCAACCAGCTTGTCGACTAGCTTGCCATGCGAGTCCTTGAAAGTCCTCTTGACGAAGCTCAATAGCAGTGATGAGCATGTCATCCTGACATCTTCCCGAATGTACAGTCCATTCCTTGGTGTTCTTAGGTCAGGCTCGGCGGGAAATTTTGGTTCACCAGGTAGCCTTCCTCCTACAGTCCACTTTGATTGGATGTCGAGACCTAATGGTGCGTATACATGTGTGAAGAGGCCGTCGGCTGTGTCGTTGAAGCAAGCATGGTATGATACTGAGCCAGTAGCCAGACCGCCTGGTAAATATGAGACCTTGTCTTGTAGTCGTTAGTATTGGATGCAAGAATAGGGGGCTGGGGAAAGTAAGCCTACCCTTGATTGTGTACCACATGGCCCAGTACTCATCAGTGGGCGCATAGGAAGGAGGCTTGCACATGAACCGTTCTACAACCAACGGGTTCAAGTCAATCATAGCCAAGTGATCATGGTACATGTCTATCACGCTCTTCCTTGTGATGCCAGCCGGAAGCGGCGTAATAGTGGTGAAGACAGCAGTCTTCGGCATCCTGTCTCCTTTAGTGCGGGTTAAATCTAAATCGATCTTAATCTGGTTCCAAGTTTCAAGGAATCTGGGTATGTATGGATGCGTCTAGATGTTTATACACACGCGCGTGAGAAGATAGAGAGGTAGAGAAAAGCTGTTTGGACAGCAGAGCAGCGAAGGAAGATGTATTTGTTTCGCAGGCTAGAAGAAGCCCAGCCCAAGAGGGCTGACACGCTTCGCACGTGTATCAGGCATGCGCTAGAGCACAGCTTCAGATCCCCTGCACCATTCATATTTGCGGAAGGTTTGGGAACGACAGGACCCTCGCCAAGCTCCCCGCCAATACTTCGGGAACGGCACTGATGCCGTTCTCGACACGCATCTAGAATTCGGCCTCCTGTCATCAGCTGCCAAGCGCAGCCGGATGTGTGTTTGACCGTTCTGTTTTGATGCAGGTGCTCCAAGCGGCACCGCCAGCTCACACTGGCAGCGTCTAGAAAACACTAATGCCGAGAGCCCACAAACACAAAAATCCACGCTGTTGGGCGCAGACACGGAAGTGGAAGTTTTGTCCCGGAATCAAGTGGCGTAGTGTAGCAGATGTCCGTATCCTGGTGCAGATCCGCCGCATGTACGTTAGAAGCTAAGGTTTGCGCTAGCACAAATATGGAAGTTACAATGAACTATTGGAGGGTAATTCCACTTGAACTTCAACTTTGCAGTACAAGATGTGTATAATAAACTTTGCCTGTCAATGACGACTGTCAAAAGGAAAGTTTGCTGTCATAATTGACATCCACGGGAGAAAAAAAAAGAAAGCTTCGGCTGTACATACAACTACTGCTGCGCATTGCGCACCGCAGAGTACAAAGTACCCCAGAGATCTCCATCTTCAGGCATTGCATGTCTCTTTTCCGTTTCAGCATGGCTCCACCAGGCACTCATCGTATGTTCAGGCATGTGCATCCCCTTTACCCGAAGAAGATTTGCTGTGCTGTTACAAACCAAGCGTTTGAAAACGACATGTTAAGAAAAGTGGTGCCCGGTTTGACATTCCCGTTCAGGTCTCCGTGTCGAGATACAGACATACTTATTTCTCAAAGGTACGTTGTTTCATCCGCGTGTATGCAAGCGCCTTTTCCTTCCTGTCGTCTACAAATCCATCTTTGTCAACGTGTCTACGTGACAAATGCCCGATGCTATGTATAGTAGAAATGATTTGCAAAAAAAGCAAAAAGGTACTCCGCACCCGTCATCGATCGCATATACTGCTCTGTTTTTAGGCGTGCAGATTATTTTGCCCTTTTGCTTTTGTCATCACTTTTGTCATCGCATTTGGCCAAGAACTGAACACATAGAGGCTTAGATAGTGCGATACCTGAGGTGTCATTCAGATTGACACCTGTCACAAAAGCAAGCTTGCATAGACTCTTCGAAACGATACTGGATCAAGATAGATTACGAATATTGATACTGTAGGTGAATTTCAGTGCTGCGCAAAGCAAAGCAAACGAGACAGACATCATTCATGAGAACACCAAAGCGCCGCAATCATGCCTGATGATTGCTTTCCTAGTCATATACGCATCACACCCACGCCCTCAATCTCATCTATACACCTTGGTGCATTTTGATCTCCTCGTTTCCATATGGCTTCTTCCCAGCGCTCGCCACACTGGCCTTGCGTCCCTTGATAATCGCCATCACACTAAGCCCAAATGTGGCAATCCACGTAAACCATGAAATAGCACTAAGTGCCGTACTTGCACGAGCTACATCGCAGACCTAATTGGTCACAGTTAGTCTCTTTTCAGCGTAGATTATGACAGTTCCTCTAGTTCGCCTCTAGTGCTCTACTCCTACAGCTTGGACATCATCAAGGGGAATCGAAATCATACATACCATGCCAAAGCAAATCCTACCGTTTAAAAAAACGCCTAGCGAGACAAACCCACTGAGCCAAAAGAGCATCGTCATGCCCTCGATACCCAGCAAAGCCCACTTCATCGTGGTTTGTTCTGCTAAGTGGGTGAATTTGCCCAGGGAGATGAGGAGCAAAGGGGCGAGCGTCAGGAGACTCCAGGCTGGCGCGAAGATAAGGTAGTTGATCTCGATTGGAGATGACTGTCGCCAATGACTTGACCACCATGACGATACTGAGCTTACGTGAGCTTGGGTCTAAAGTACAGACAAAGAGAAGTCAAACATACCGTACGCCATGAGTCCAAGGATGACAATGGAAAGTACAGCCTGAGTGGCACGCACAGGAAGCATCCAGTTCATCGCCATTTTAGCTGTATGCTGTAGTCTCTTCTCCTTAGGAAGTGTCGTATCGTATGTGTAGCTAGCTGGTGCCTTGATGCTTGTCTTGCCAAGGCGACTGGAACGATCGATTCGATCTACTTGTAATATATCCTCTGAATATCGTACGTGTACAATATACTAGCGATTTACTGAAGAGAAGGCTTGTCGCACCACAGCAAAATACCGCATACACACAAAAGGATCGTCAACAAATGGACCAGATATACGTCTCTTATGGCGTTGTCCAGACAAACGTAGGATCCAGGGTAAAATAATGTCGAGAGGCGAGAGAAAGGGAATCAAAAAGCGTGGGAGGAGATAAAAGGGTAAAGTGGGAGAGAGATACCCCGATGGTGAGGGGGGTGCTTTAGTCGATACGGGTAAAATATCCAAGGGCAATCCCTGAACGCAAAAGAAGCAGTATGAAGTCGAAAGGACAAAAGTAAAAATATTCACGGGTCAAGATAA